AGGGTCTGCGAGTCTTATATCGTTGGGTATTTTGTGAAGTAATGAATGTATGAAAACATTTGGCATATTTGTGATTTGCTTTAGTACATAGAACGATTTAATTAATGTATATTTGCTATTTAATGACTGTAGTTCAACAATGCAACTTTGATTTATCTTCTCTGATAAATGATTTCCAATACCCATAATATTGATAGTTTTCATCTTGCACGGTTTGAGTGCGAGTTTATCCATGAGTGACTGACTAACAAATGAGGCCTGACTTCCGCAGTCTAGAAGGGCCCTAACCGCCATAGATTTATTTGTGCAAGGATTTATTAACCTTACAATAGCAGTACATAGGAGGACTTGAGTCCTCTCGGCTTCATGGGTAATCGAGGTATTGACCGAGATGTTTGCGCTCGAGGTCGCATCGCTACTCTTTACATTAGCTAAGTGTAGAAGTGTGTTATGTTTACGTTTGCATTCTCGGCAAGGACCTAGCTTGCAGTCTTTTACACTATGACCTAACCGAAGGCAGTTTAGACATAACTGAAGCTTAGAGGCTTCGGCCTTTCGCTCAGGAATACTTTTTCCTAGGAATATGGGACAATCATAAATCCTGTGATCTTGCTTGCAGATTACACAGGAAACCTTATATACTTGCGAAGTGGAGGCCAAAGTTTTTATAACGTGTGAAGAGTTACGATTGGTAGAAAGCGTTGGCACCGATTTAGTCTTATCACACTTGCTTGGAAATATTTTATCTAAAACATTAGCCCGATCAGTCAAAAATTTATGAAATTGTTTTAAAGAGGGATAAACATCTTGAAGTTCGTTGCGATATTCCTCCCACTTTACAGTAGTGCGTTTATCAAGCTTAGAGGAAATTAGGTGAATTACAAGTGTGTCCCAATGTTCAACGGGTTCGCCCAAACTAGATAACGCTCTTAAATTTTTTGTTACATTATCAACTAGGGAACGTAGTGAATTATTAGACTCCCGAATAATACTTATGTTGCATAGGGCGTCAAGGTGATGATCTATGAGCGCACGCTTGTTGTCGTAACGCTCGCACAAAAGCTTCCAAGCGGTTTCGTAATTGCTTTCAGATTTACCCAAATTAGAAATAATTTGAGCCGCCTCACCTTCCAAATAACTTTCTAAATAATGAAATTTGTGAATAGGTTTAACACGTTCGTTATTATGAATTAAGGATAAAAAAGTATCACGAAACTCAAGCCAGCGGAAATAGGCTCCATCAAATTTTGTTATCTGTATTTGTGGAAGCTTGAATTCTGAATGATTACAATGGAATGAATGATCGTGCTGAGACTGAGACGAGTCAAGCGAGCTGGGATTGTTTATGTGCTCATTCGATTTATCTAAAAACTCCTGCGCAGTGGCAAGATGAAAGGTAAATATCTGCTCGATATCATCGCGCTCATCAATCTCATTGCTCATATTTTCACAGTTTAAAACCTCAATTTGTTCTTGTAATTCATCGAATCTATCTCGCATAGCCCGTAGTTTCTCAATATTAATTTCTAATTCTTTAATTTGAAGTTTTGTTAAAGTTAATGGAGATACTAAATCTAAATATTTTTTAAACTTTGTGAGCCGACCTTTAACGGAACTACGTTTAGCTAAAAGCTCCTTCAGTTGCTTGGTACTGACATCCTCACTCACAGACATATTGTAAAGATAAAATTAAATTCTTGGTAATAGTTGTGATTAAATAACAATAAGGCAAAGTGAGGTTCAATTATAAGTTACGTTATGCGCTAACACAATGAAGGAATAAAACTATAATTAATTGATACGCCTTATCTGATACTCCTGTCTCCGGGGCACGGGGACGCCGGCGTCTGGTCTGCCGCTCGAGGCCTGGAGCGCCCGCTGCAGCGCTGCAACGTAGCAGGCCCGCGGTGACTGAGTAGCTATTCAGCGCGGCGCTGGAAATAGTCGGCATAAAACGATTTGAATTATTCTGTTTCCAACAATAACAACAGTTTAGAACTAATTGCTGGATGTATTATGTTGTTGTAGTTAGATTAGGAAACTATAAAACGTTATTTATTGCTTAATTAAGATTGTTGAATTACCTAACATATGAAAAAAAGGGATAAGTGATTATACTTGAATTTCGTACGGTACTTGTGAATTTATTTTAATTTTATAATCTTAGGCGATTATACTATATTATTGAGCTTTACGTGTTATTGTGTTAATTGTTGTAATATAACATGAAACAATCGCCTAGTTAAGGTTATATGAATAAGTAACCTGTTTAGATGGAAGGGGTAAATAGGTAAAGGTCAAAGGGTCAAAAGGAGGGCACTTAACTGATAGATGTGATGATTCCAGGCGCTGCTGCTACAGCTGCAGAGACCTCTGTCACCTGTTTGTCGTGTTCACGTTCCTCTCTTGTAAAGGATGACCTCTGCATTCACTGGAAGTGACTTGTAAAATTGTTTTGTAGAATGTGGACGTTGAATCTTGACGAATCTAAGGCTGGGCGCGGCGCTGGGTTTGCTGACCGACCTGGCTAGCTTAGTCGTAGTTTCTTGTCCTTTAGTTAGTATGTTTGAAAATCTTGAGTAGAAATTTTTCTTAGGTATTATTGTACGATGATTTGATTGTTGATTGATGTGATTGTCCTGTCACGGTCGCCAATTAATGTCTCGTAGGGGACATTTGGAAGTTTAAAATTGTAAACCTCGGTTTTTTGATGTAAAAAACTTTTTATTTCTTGTGCTAATGTACAGTACAAAAGGTCTGTGTTGGATCGCCTTGACATTCTTAACAATATATTAAAAATAGAAAATAGTGGGTAGTGAGTAATACGACTATGATGCGTTCCGTTATAGACAAAGTCTATGCGCTTAGACACATGTATTCCCGAAAAATATATTTATTTGGAAAACTACAGCGATAATGACTGACTACAAAACATTCTTTGTTAACTAACAAAATAGTGCTCAGTGAAGGTAGTAGGAACCCCATGTTCCTAATGTGCCGCCAATATGCCAGAGACGGGTCTGCCTGTTTAGCAGTCAGGTTCACTAACCACTTGACCAACAGGCCCGTCATCAGTTGATCAGACTGCCGTGTCTACGTGTCTGTACACAGTGTGCGTGAAGTAATCAAATTATATAATAATAATATAATAATTATTATTATTTCACACATCTCACAAACGGCTGTCTGATCCCAAACTAGTCAGAGTCTGTACTATGATAACCAGACTGCTGATAAACATACTTATATATTTCTAAATACATACATATTATAGATAAATTACACCCAGACACAGAACAAATGATCGTGCTCATCACACAATAACTTGTCCTGGGTGGGAATTGAACCCACGACCTCCGGCTTAGCTGTCAGGGTCACTAACTACTAGACCAACAGGCCTGTCAAATATATATCATGAAAATAAAAGTCATTAAATTATGAACATATTTTTATGTCATTTCTATTTGGTTGTCATCTTCCCTGCTAGTATACATTTTCCAATCGTACTCGTTTCTGTTACATAATAGCAATAACGTCTGTAAAAACACCATTAATTCACATGGAATTAGCAAAAAGTCTATCGACATATCAAACGTCAACAATATCCCATAAACCACCATCAAAGTGTCCCAGACCATTGGCAAACCGTTCACAGTTAAAATAAAACTGATTTTAATTTTTTTCATCCTCATTTGATTGACCATTTTTATAAAGTTAACGAATAATATTGTTTCAAATTCAAATATAACAATAACAATTAACATTTGCATTTTAAATAAATCTATTTCAAATTTAAATTGCATCAACAACAGAATAATTACAAATGCGATTACAGTCAATTTCCAAACGCAACACATAATTATTTCTTCGTTTTTGATAACTTTTGTACAACCTAACATGATATAAGCATAGCGTAATAGTATTGTGAACATGCTCAGACATCCAGAGGCGAATATTAAAGATAAATATAAAAAAAATATTATATTAAACTTGACGATATCTGTTATAACGTTTAATAGAAGCACACAGAACAACGCCAGAGTATTCAATATTATTTGATATATGTAGCTGTAATTATTTTTGCGAAAATTCTTCTTTTTACTGTATAATGTCACCATAATTAAACTGCACAAGGTTGATATGATGGTATAAGTGATGTACACAATATTTGTGAATATAAAATCTGTCACAATCATAACTGCTGATCAAAAAGGATGTTTCGTTAATCACTTTAAGCACTAATAAACATTCTTTGTTATTGTTCGTGTATTAATATTTAATTAATATGACTCGGTTTTATTTTAGCCAATTGCCGTGTTCTTCGTACACGATCTACTCTTCCAGTCATAGATTTTTGTACCACAATTTATTTTATTATAATATTGTCATAGTGACTGTATGTTAATACTAGTTACATTAAAATTTAACAATGAATTTCGACAACCTTTATCAATATTCGTTATAATAATGACATGTGTGTTTTTTTTTATAATTCCTCTTATCGGGTTTTTTTATGTTATCAAATTATAATGTTGCTAAATAATTATAGCGTTTCAATGATTGCACGGATGGCGTAGTGGTTTAAGTGGCCATACTACGCTAATGTTGTGGGTTCGATCCCCACATGGGACGACACTTTGTGTTTTTTTTTTATATGGTACAAGACAGCAAATGAGCAGACGGGTCACCTGATGGTAAGCAACTACCATCGCCCATGGAAACCTGCAACTTAAAAGTCACAAGTGCGTTGCTGCCCTTGGAGTCCTTCCCGCTCGAGTCAGCGGGAGGGGAGATTTGTGTGATCCACAAATTGTTGTTCTGAGTCTGGGTGTTCTTTCTGTCCGTTTTATGTATGTTTGTAAAGTCCCCCACGACTCAGGATATATTCCTAATGCGGGAGTTGTCTTGTAAAAAAAGACTGTTTATTTATCAATTTACAATAGTTGTTATATTTCCCTGTTGTCTAATAGTATGTCGTTGATCAGATTCTTTATTTTCAGAATAATACCTACTCTATAAGTATCGATATAAAGGATATTTTTGAACAAGCCTCGTCCTTGAAGCCGACTGATTGTGTGTCGGCTGCTTATAAGTTAGATTTATTGAGGCGTAAACTACCAGACTGTATACTGCAGAACGAACAGAGGTATGACGTTGAACTATTATTTTAAATTATATATTTACTTGCTGACCCGGCAAACGTTCTTTAAAAAAAAATTGTGTGGGGTATTAAAAATAGATGTTGGCTGATTCTCAGACCTACCCGATATGCACACAAAATTTCACGAAAATCGGCCGAGCCGTTTCGGAGGAGTTCAACCACGCACACCGTCACACGAGAATTTTATATATTAGATAGTACTGACTAGATTTCAAATAATTCAGTTCAGCAATTAAGACTGTCGCTTTAGAAAACTATAGATCCTGCACCCTGAAAGGTTAAAAACAAAACTAAGAAAAGAAATAGTAGAATAAGAAACATAAAAACTATCAAACCTCCCCTGAACGGCTCGTCACCGCGTGGGTTGTAGACGACCACCCTCCAAACTTCGTCCGTGCGGTGACGGATTAAGAATACAGAGTGTCACACCCACGGGATGAATAGGGGTCTATTCATCCCGTGGGTGTCCTAAGAGCCTACTAGAAGAGAGAAAGAAAACTTGACACAAACCCTAAACCAACCCGTTTGGCCAGCTTGGTATAGTAGGCCAAAACCTCCTTTCTAAGGAGAGGCTTATGTCCAGCAGTGGACTGTTAAAGGCTGTTGATGATGATGACGACCCTCCAAACTTAAAAAAAAACTATAGTTTTTCTCTCTCTACATTTAATCTCAGTTCATTAGCAAATGAAGTAAGAGTAACAGAATTGGAAAACGCAATCTTCAAAATAAAATTGAATATAATCGGTTTAGTTAAGGTGAGAAGAGAAGTACAAAAAAAAATAGAAGACAGTGGTAAATACTTCCTTTACTACTGTGGGCAACTTATGGCCCAGATTGGCACAAGATAGAGCCATATGGAATAGTTTTGGGAGGGCTTACACCCGAAAAGGCGGCCCTTACACTTAATGCTACTAACATAAAATTTAAGCAAACAAAACTAAAAAATATATAATTAAAAAACAAAACAAATTAAAATATTATGTACAAACTTATAGTAAGGGATCAACTAAGTTTTATTAATAAAATAAATAAATCAAAGTATTGCCTGGCCTGTTCGTGTAGTCTCTAGATCAAAAACAATGAATTATATTTACTGTTAATCATTCAAACGTGATTTAACTGCCGATGGTGCAGTGGAAGCGTATACTACTGCTGTGCTGATGTCTCGGGTTCGATTCCCGGGTCGGACCAAATGTTTGTATGGTCTGCAAATATTTATTACCGACTTTGGGTGTTTTCTATGTAGAAAAAACAAAAGTATTCTATCAGTCAATCTAGCTTTTATTACTGTGAAAGCTTGATTGACAAGCTCTTCTTAGTTTGAAACTAAATGCGTATCTGATGTCCGAAAATATTACCGAAGGCTTGAATTATGGCGTCATGAAACTTAAAAAAAAAGAAAAAAAAAAAGGAGGAGCGAGGGGCTCCTCCTTGTCATATAATGTCACACTTCGTCAGAGTTAAAGTATAGAGCTAGTAACAAATGATGAACGGGATTGAGAAGTCAGATTGTAGTAGTCGAAGCGGCAGGGGTCCCGTACTCGGCGGAGCGGGACCGGGAGAGGTTTAGGACTCTCCCGGCCCGCCAGGCCCGGGAACGGGCCAGGTACCGCAGGCGACTCAGGCGCCGGAGGTCGCAGAACGACCTCCGTCCTCCATAAGCGCAGGCCTGGGGGTGACAGGTGAGGCCATCTGTCACCCTAGCAGAAGCAGGCCGGGGTGGCGGCGAGCGCGTTGCGAAGCGCGCTCGCTTCCAGGGAGCACAGGGAACATGGGGTTCCCACACGGGGGGGGGGGGGGGTCGTCTACTCGTCTGTAGATGACCCGAGGTATGTCGGGGCACCAGGGACTTCCTTTCTAGGGTATACCTAGTTCCCCGGCTATTAGTACCCGAGACGGCGTGCGGTTTTAGTCGGTTCGAGTCCGACATGCCACCGACAGGTGGTATCCGAGGGGATTTCCGCACGAAAAAAAAAAAAAAAAAAAGGGGGGTCCCGTACTCATGTGATCCGTCTGGGGTTGGAGACGCCATTGGCCTCAACTTTGTTTCCTTCATAACAATACGCACTATAAATATACATATATACACTTACGTCTTTCATCGCCGAAAGGTAATCAAAGGTTTATAAAACGTTCACAATTTACTGTTAATAATTTTAGTGCCACTTACGTATTGTCTAGCCAAGTGTTTTGCCGTCACTTGGGCACATATTATATATACACACAAATTATACATAGAAAACACTCAAACTTCGACCGACGCGGGAATCGAACCCGAGACTTCGGTACAGCAATCGCTTATGTTACTATTACATCACCGAGGCAAATTACACCTCGTCATAGAACAAATGATTATTTTCGACACTCGATTGTTTGTTTTGGGTAGAAATCGAGTCTACGACCTCTGGTTTAGTAGTCGGGTCACTAACCACTAGACCGACAGGTCAATCGGTATTTATAAAAAAACCGATCCGATATTTGAAAAAAAATCGGTAGAAGAGAGAGGAGTATTTGTGATTTTTGTAATTTACATAAATTTATCGCTTATACACTTATATTATCATAGTATTAAATATTTAATTCAGTTAAAAAAGTATCGGGAATGGATGATTTGTTTATGGTTCCAAATTCAAATTTTTGTTTTTTTTTTGTTTGTTTTCCATTTTGGCGCGGAGTTTGAGTTGCATCTGTTATTTATGTTAAATACAGCGCTGTTTTTATATCATATCTAGTGTGTATTGCGAATTTCATAATGGACAAAAACATCGAACAAAGAGTTTGTCTTAAATTTTGCATCGCCAATGGAATTTCGTGTTCTCGGTCACTGAAAATGTTACAGAAGGCTTACGGTGAATCCACTTTATAAAAAACACGTGCGTTATGAGTGGTACAAAGCATTCAAAAGCTCTGTTAGGCCATCAACGTCTGCAACTAAAGTTAGCATCGTAAAAGTGAAGGAAATAGTGACTGAAAATCCTCATTCAACTTTGAGAGAGATAGCCGCCGAACTTTCTGTATCTCACGAGTCGATCCGTACAATTTTAACTAATCATTTATCTATGAAACATGTTACCGCTCGGCTAGTCCCAAAAGACCTGAATTTTCTCCAAAAACTCCATCGCTTGAGAGTCGCTAAAGACATGCTAGTCGAACGAGTCAATTCCGACCCAACATTCATGAAAGGCATTGTTACTGGTGACGAGACGTGGGTTTACGAGTTTGATATGCAAACTAGTCAACAAGCTTCGGAGTGGCGCCTTCCAACTGAACCGAAACCGAAAAAACCACGCCAAAGTCGATCAAAAGTCAAAGTCATGTTGACTGTTTTCTTTGTCTATCGCGGTGTTGTGCACTCGGAATTCCCGCTGGAAGGTCAAACGGTAAATAAAGAATGTTATTTGAGCGTTATGCGGCATTTAAGAGAACAAATTCGACGAAAAAGGCCATATTTGTGAAAAGAAAATTCTTGGATTTTACACCACGATAATGCGCCTTCGCACAAGGCCATCATTGTAAATGAATTTTCGACCAAACACTCAACAAATACCATCGTCATATTCACCAGGTATGGCTCCAGCTTACTTCTTTCTTTTTCCTAAACTCAAATTACCACTTCGTGGCACTCGTTTTCAATCGGTAGAAGATATAAAGATGAATTCGCGTCGAGAACTGAACTCAATTCCGAAAACAGCATTAAAAAATGTTTTGATGATTGGATTATTCGTTGGCGTAAGTGTATCGTTTCTCTCCAAAGCTGGTCGGCGCTGCGTCTGCCCTAGGGCGACTTTTGCCCAATTTGGGTGGACCCAGCGTCGCGACAAGACGGCTGTACACGGGGGTTGTCCGGTCAATGGCACTGTACGGTGCACCGGTGTGGGCGGCGGCTCTGACCGCCCAGAATAGGGTACGCCTCTGGCGCCCTCAGAGGGTAATGGCGGTCAGAGCCATACGCGGTTACCGCACCGTTTCGACGGAGGTGGCATGCGCGTTGGCCGGAACTCCCCCGTGGGATTTGGAGGCGGAAGTGCTCGCCGAAGTTTGGCGCCGAAGTCGGCGAGTGGCTGACTCCCGGGCGGAGAGCGGATTTCGCCCTCCGCCCGAGGATGTGCGCGAGTGGCGCGAAGCCGCTCGCCGAGCCACGATGGCTCGTTGGTCGTTCCGGCTGGAGACTCCACGCGCTGGCTTCGTCGCCGTGGAGGCTCTCCAGCCGGTCATCGCCGAGTGGGCAGGGCGGCAGCACGGGACCCTTTCCTTCCGGCTGACGCAGGTGCTTTCCGGGCACGGTTGCTTCGGAAAGTACCTGCACTCGGTCGCTAGGAGGGAACTGAGTCCCGCCTGCCACCACTGCGACTGCAGTGAGGACTCGGCCCAGCACACGCTGGCGGTCTGCCCCGCATGGGCGACGTAGCGCCGGGCCCCCACTGCAGTCATCGGAGTGGATCTCTTGCTACCGGCCGTAGTACGCTCTATGGCCGGTAGCGACAGTTGTTTTACCGCGGTCGCAACCTTCTGCGAGGATGTAATCTTGCAGAAGGAGGCGGCTGAGAAGGCCCGGGAGGACGACCTCCACTCGGACCTGATCCGCCGCCGGCGAACCGGGCGGCGGAGGCGCGCCTATCACCGCCTCTTGCCGCCCTGAGTGTGGCCGCGGGTGGACGGGGTGGGTTTCCCCTCCACACGCATTAGTTTGGCCAGCCGCGAGGGGGCGGCGTCCGCGTGTGCCGGACGTTGTCTAAAGAGAGGAAAATATTGAGACGGAGCCCGCACCAGGAGCGGGCTGGCGCTAGGAGGGGTCCGGATGTCTTAACAACAGCTGTTCCCGGATCCCTCCTGTTACAGGCGCAGAGTGGCACACCGTGTGGTTTTAGTCGGTCCGAGTCCGACACACCACCCCGCCGCAAACCCCGGTGGGGTGACGGTCCGAGGGGATTTCCACACGTTAAAAAAAAAAGTTTAGTTTAACAATAGGAAAATCCTGGGTGTTAGGAATTCTCAAATTCCTTTTGCTTCATACTATGTTCAAAAATCTATTATTGGTATGGTTGTTTAAGTGGTCGGTTACTCTATATAGACTGGTCACGGTGTAAAGTATATTTATGATACGTTCCAGCGCTGCAGCGGAGGGGGTGCGGTGGGCCCTGGCGCGGCGGCTGGTGCGGCGCGTGCGGGCGGAGCTGGCGCAGTGCCGCCGCAGCGTGGTGCTGGCGGCGCGCATAGCGCCCATGTACGGCCTGCTGCACTGCCTCGCGCACCTCCTCGCCCCGCTCCGCCCCGGGTCAGCCTCACGGTTCTAGTATACTTCTGGACGTGACTCTCCGCATAGAAAGGAGGTTTTGGCCTACTATACCACGCTAGCTAGACGGGTCGGTATAGGGTTTGTGTCGAGTTTTCCTTCTCTTTGCAGTACCTTTATCTTGTATTTGCTCCCTTAATCGGTAATAGAACATACAGATACATCGATCGTATTATACCGAGTTTGATATCATACTAGCTACCGCCCACGACTTCTGTACGACTGTTCATCCCTTATTTTACCCCCTTAAGGATGAAATTTCTAAAAATACTGTCTCAGTGGATGCTTAAAATTAAAAAGCTATCAAAATTTAACCACAGTCAGAGCAATTCATACATAAATCATTAAAAGTAACTATTACTATGAAATAATACTAAATTAAAATTTTGACAGTACAGAGTGGGTCTCTTATGATATTAGGGCCAACGAACAGACAAATCACTGTGATGATAAGTGACTGACACCTGCTATTCAAGACACACAAGTGGGTTACCGCCAAGATTTGGCGGAGGTAGGCTTAGATAATGTCACGTAATGTCACGAAATATGTCAAGTCTGGGTGTTATTTGTGTCCCTTTCATGTATGTTTGTAAAGTCCCCCGCGACACAGGATATTTTCCTAATGCGGGAGTTGTCTTTTTTAAAAGAAAGAAAAAAAAGAAAGAAAATAACACGAAAATTCGAGAAAGAAAGAAAGAGTTCATATAACCATGCAGTTCCTGGAATAGTTCTAATAATAATGCAGGGTGCCATGAAACAATGAGTTTTATAACAATATTCATAAGATTGAAAATAGAATGTCGCGCGATGATCTCGTTTGCATTTAACACCTAATTGTATATCTCGGAAACCGCTTCGCTGGAGACAGACAATTCAGCCGACGACCAGATGGCGTAGTGGTTCGTGTAACGGACTGCTATTCCAAAGGTCGCGGGTTCGATTCCCGCTCAAGTCAAACATTTGTGTGCATGAACATTTAATGTTTGATTTGGTCTGGGTGTTTTTATGTATAATATGTGTGGGATATAGGGTTCTTCAAATAAGGTTTACACCGTCTTCTTAGTAAAATAATATTTTTATTCCTTAGCACCATTGACCGTCGTACATGTTAATCCTCCATCTTGCTTTTTTACATCCTTCCCCTCCTTCCGGCATCTCTCTCCCTCTCACTCACACATCACACTCTCTCTCTCTTACAGCTGCGTTCCTATTCCCACATTCGGCCATCCGACATCCATGTCTGTCCTCAGACATGCTAGACTGACTCTCATTCCTTATTACATTCTCACTCATTCATCAAACAACTTAAATATTTTAATCACAAATATTAACAACAAAATGAATAAAATTCTTGTCTTACACAGTTCTTAACTAAAGGTCTTATGCGAATACAATGCAAAGGTTAACTTCTACACATGTTATAAACTTAAGCACTATTTAATAACAAAACATTAGTAAATCAGCTTACAATACTAACCGACTTATGAGATTAAACTACAGTTTACATTTACCAACAGATGAAATGAGTTTCTCATTAACACAGAAAACTTAAATGAAACAAATAAAACAAAAAAAAAATTGAATATCCACATTCAGTCTTACATCCATATCTCACTACAAATCAAAACACACTTACTCAATTTCTCCATCCTTGTCAGGCCACCTCTTCATCCCATCAGCTGAGCAAGTAGTCTTTATGGGACCTTCAGACGTGACATCATCCTTTTCGACATCATAGCGGTCCTTTCGTTTCACCTTGGTAATCTTATATGGTCCTAAGTACTTCGGCTTTAGTTTGAGTCCTGAGCCAAATTGTGTCCTTTGTATTGCTACTCGTTCACCCACTTTATACTTAGTACTTTCCTTTCTTTTACTATTATAAGTACTAGTGTTTTCTTCCTGGATTTTTAATATTTGTTCTTTAGCCCTTTTTCTTAATACTTCTCTTTCCTCACTGAATTGTTCTAGACTTTCTTGCTGTAATAAACTAATTAAAGGTATATCTTCTTTGGATTTCATCTTGACACCTGTCAATAGCTCAAAGGGACTAGTGTTAATGCTCCTTTGGAAAGTGCTGTTTATTGCCCGTTGCAATCGGCTTACATGTTTGTACCACACTGATGGATCTTCTGCACATAACTTCGTAAGAGTTGGTTTAATGATTCCATGTACCCTTTCCACCTGGCCATTTCCTCGTGGCACTCCTGTTGTTATCTTTATGTGTTGTATCTTCTCACTCTCACAATATTCTTCAAACTCATGACTAGTAAAAGCAGTACCGCGATCGGTGACAATCCTTTCTGGGTTCCCAAATGTCTGTTGGTGTATTTTAAGCTTATCTAGAGTTTCACTACTGGTGGTGCTCTTTGTAGGGAAAAGCCACACGAATTTGGTAAAGGCATCTACTATTGTAAGAATGTGATTATACTTCTTTCTAGTCTCAGTCATTGGTCCGATGTGATCCATGTGAAGGGTATGCAGGGGAGTTCCCTCCTTCTGAATAGGGTTAAGAAAACCTTCCTGTTTGCCCTGCTTCTTTGTTGCTAGTAAGCATGGTATACAGCTTGCTATAAAGTCATCAATTTTCTTATCTATGTCTTTGATGTAAAAATCTTTAACAATAAGTTCCTTCATTTTTCTCTTACCAAAATGACCATTGGCATGCACTCTTCGTATGACTTCCTTTTCCATGCTTCTAGGTATTACTAGCTGCTTCTGGTCACTCTTGTATAGAATATTGTTTTCCAACCAATAGCCTAAATAGGGGTTTTCTTTTAGAATTTCAATCATTGCTTTCAGTCCTTCATCCTGGGTTTGGGCTTCCTTAACTTGGTCATGAAGGCTTGCTACCATGACTGAAATATAAGGGTGTCTGCTCAATGCGTCTACATGCCTCATCCTTGATCCTTTTCTATGCTCAACTTCAAAGTCATATTGATCTAAAAACAACACCCATCTCGCAACCTTAGATGATAAATCTTTTTTCTTCAATGTTAGTGCAAAGGCTTGACAATCTGTGATAATCTTAAAATGTATGCCGAACAAGTAATGACGAAATTTCTTAACAGCTTCTATTATAGCTAGAGCCTCCAGTTCATAGCTAGGGTACCTTTGTTCGGCATCATTTGTCTTTCTACTCATATACTGGACTGGATGTAAGCCACTATCTGGATGCTGCTGTAACAGTATTGCTGAATATGCAATGCTAGATGCATCTGTATGTACTTCCGTGGGCAGCTTAGGATTATATATCTTCAACACTGGACCACACGCCAGCTTCTGTTTCAAAATGTTAAAAGCATTACGTTGATCTTCTTCTAAAATAAAAATAGCATTTTTTTTTAATAAGTCTGTTAAGGGTTTCGCTATTGCAGCATAATTCTCTATATATTTTCTGAAGTAAGAAGTAAGTCCTATGAAACTGTGTACCTGCTTAGTTGTTCTTGGTTCCGGGTATCTCATCACAGCATCTGTCTTTTCCAAACTCGGGCTAATTTCACCATTTTGTATGCGATGACCCAGATATTCAATTTCACTGCATATCAAGTTTGCCTTCTTCCAATTTATCTCTAGTCCATATTCTGAAGCAACTGATAAAACTTCTTTCAATCTTTGCACTCCTTGTACCTCGTCTTTAGCTAGAATGATAATGTCATCGATAAAAACTAACATTATGCCCTTGTTGATTAAATCCCTAAAAACTGTTGATACAAATCTCATAAAATACTTAGGGCAGTTTGACAACCCAAAAGGTGCACGCGTAAATTCAAATTGACCATGATGGGTCACAAATGAGGTGTAGTGTATTGATTCTTCACTGACCTTCAAATGAAAAAAAACATTTTTCAAATCAATAACACTGAATACTTTAGAGTCTCGCAGTTTATCAATTAAATCTTCAATGACAGGTAGTGGATACTCGTCCTTTATCATCTTCTTGTTGAGTTGTCTGTAGTCTACACAGACCCTTGTAGAACCATCTTTCTTCCTAACTAACACCAAAGGACTGGCATATTCTGAGAAACTTACCCGCACTATATTCTTTTCCAACCATTCCTTTACCTGGTCTTCAACTATTTGCTGTTCCTTCAGTGACAATCTTCTAGGTTTTTGAGCTACTGGGATGTCATCCTTCAAGATAATTTTAAGTTGTATGGGTGCTTCTTTTACTTGGACCGGCTTGTAGTCATCTACACATTGTAAAACCTCCTTTCTGACAGTTGGGCTGACTGTGGAACCTACAACAACACTCGAACCTACAGTAAAACAATCCATTTGTCTCATCCACTCTTCACCTGAGGGTAACAACAACACACTTCCTCCATTCATAATCATTGTCACACTAGCGAGAAACTCATGACCTAATATTAAACGATAAGGCATACAGTCTTTAGGCACAACATGGAATGTAACTTCGTCGTAACGACGTCCGTCAATCACAGCACAGGTTGTAAACTCTCCGTATGAACGCACTGGTTTCAGTCCGAGACCCGACAATACAATACCATCTTCAGTTGTCTTTGGCTGGCCGATCACCTCATAGAAGTCTTGCGACATTAAGTTTACATCGCTTCCCGAGTCAACGAGCGCCATTTCTTCGGTATTTTCAACACAAATACTCAAAACCGGCTTCTTATTAGGTTTGGTGTCGATCTGCAAAACATCTTTATTTTTTTGACAGTGATAGCTGTCATTTTCGTCATCGCTGTCAGTGGTGCCAACGTAATCCGTAGTGAACATGGCGGACTTCGAAGTGCTGGGATTCGTCGGATTTCCGCCCGAACGACGTCCTTCATGTTGGCAGCGCTGTCGGTCGTCCCCGCCGCTGATTGGTCGACTCGATCGGCTGCCGAAGCTCTCCGAAGGCTTCCGATCGTCTTCGCGTTTCGTCGTCGCCGTGCACATTGATGAAATATGGCCGAACTCATTGCACTTGAAACACTTGAGACCCTTTTTCTTATGAGGACAGCTTTGCGATGAATGATTTAGTTCTCCACAATTATAACACCGCATTTCACTGCTTGAATACTTCTTTGCATTTCGATTATAGCCATCACTTCCCTGATTACGTTGCGTGTCACGTCGCGCCCTCATTTTTTCTTTAACTTGTTCGTAAATTTTCAGCTTCTCCTTCAGTTCACTATAGCTTGTAACACCGTATAATAGCATTTTATTAGTTTCTAAGTCTTGGATGCCGTCTACAATGTACTTGATCGCAACGTAATCGGGAATCTTACCCCTTTTGCCGAGCTCTTTCATAATAAGCAAGTAATCCATATAGCCTTCATCAGATTTTTTCTTACGTGCACTCATCATCTCATGAATCGTCTTCTGGTCAATCGCGTCGGGAAACTCTTTGCTGATGGCTTGTTTCAAATCGGCCCATGATTTGAACGGTCTTTCGCTTCTTAGCCATAGCCCTGCCGTCCCTGTCAATGACCTACGCGCAATCACAATCTGTTGGAGCGGCGTCCATTCGAATATTTCCGTATTATCTTCAATATCTTGAATCCAGCGGCCCACTGAGTAGGTATGGTCTTGACCCGAAAAATTACTTATAAAGTCTTCAGCATATTGTACACCTCTTAGTGACACATCCTCCGTAGTTTTCGGCATCTTTACCTATCCTGTATTCGTCGTAAGTCGTAAAATATTCTTTTGCAGCCACCTTCTTGCTCCTGCGTACCCAACCACGTGTTGCATGCACTGCAGCGAGATAAAAAACTTCGTCGTCGATCGTCGCGTCTTCTTTTCTATATCCCGGACGAGCCCCCAAAATTGTGGGATATTGGGTTCTTCAAATAAGGTTTACACCGTCTTCTTAGTAAAATAATATTTTTATTCCTTAGCACCATTGACCGTCGTACATGTTAATCCTCCATCTTGCTTTTTTACATCCTTCCCCTCCTTCCGGCATCTCTCTCCCTCTCACTCACACATCACACTCTCTCTCTCTTACAGCTGCGTTCCTATTCCACATATGTATGTATTTACAAAAAAAGTATATAAAGGGTGTAAGAGACATCGTAACGTCTACTGAAATGCACTATGGTAATTATGCTCTGAATACACTATTTCAGTATTAGTTAGGATGTCCCTTACACCCTGTATATATTTATATCAGTTGTCTAGTAGCCATAGTACAAGCTCTGCTTAGTTTGGGACTAGATGGCGTTGTGTGAATGTGGTACAATATTATTACTATTATATTATAGCTGATGTTTACCGAAACATCAAAGCGATCTAAGCGAACAGAAGTGTAACCCAGCGACCTCGGCGATCATTCTGGACTATTATATCAGTATTGTTTAAACATCTTTAAGGGTAATAAAGTCTTTAACCGTCAGAAGGTATATTATTGCAAATCAACGAACCCTAACACGTGACAACAACCCCACTTAGTCACTGACAAACACAGAAATAATTTCTTAATACCAGTTTATATGAGACCTGGTATCAACTTCGATTGAGCCAGCAAGAAGTCGAAATATGACTCTCCTGCGGTTTTCCAGGTTAATATCATCAGACTCTCAGTGGACATCGCTAGTGGACGATATCATAACGACGTGCATGGAAGTCAACGAAGGTGTGTCTTCGGTGGTGAACAACTCCTCGCCTGAAGGCCACCTGCCCATGGACATGACGGGGGTTGTCGTCACTGATGATGGCAATTCAGGGTAAGGTTTTTAAAATGTGTTGTGATGAATATTCAGGGTAAGGTTTTTAATGTGTTGTGATGAATTAACATCATTCATCCATCATAATAAATATATATTTCTAAATACCTCCTTCCTAAGGAGAGGCCTATGTCCAGCAGTGGACTATTAAAGGCTGTTGATGATGATAATGATTTTTGTTTTACAGTGGTGTGATGTTGGACGACGGTAGACAAGTTACTTCGCAAATGGTGCTGTTGTGCGCGTGGCGGTCCGTCAAAGAAGTGAGCCATTATGTTGTTATCTAATTCAACTTATGCGACGCTGTGATTTCGTGGACAGGAACGGAAGTGTGTAACAGGAAGTCGGGGAAGCGCGCGCTATTCGATTTGATTATTTGCGTTGTGCTAAAATCGTCCGTCCGTTTGTAAAGTTCCTCGCGACCACAGGATATATTCTTAATGCGGTTGTCTTTTAAAAAAAAAAAGGAAGAAGACGGCAGGCGAGTTTTTTTTTCTTTTTTTTTAAAGAACTTCCGCACTTGCAAAATATCCTTTAGTTAAATCAAATAACGCGATTCCCTGGTTTCCTGTTACATATTTCCGTTCCTTTTTATGAAATCACTGCTTCATTTAAAAATTGTTTAAACTTTTTCAAGTTTTGTTGCCCTTTGCAGTGCTGTTGTCCAGCGTAGTATTCCCTTAGTCGGCTCTTACGACACTCACGGGGTGAACAGGGCTGGTGATACTCCGTATTCTTAATCCGTCACCACACGGATTTTAAATTATTTATTATAAAATAGGTTGTTTTCTTAAATTAGTTCATAACAAAACATTTTTGGAAGGTAATTCAATAGTTAAAAAGACTATTCATGGGTAATAATGATACAATATACGCAGGTGTCCCTCCTCCTCGGCTCGATATCTTCCCGTCTGAGCATCGCGGGCGAGGACGGGCCGGCCGGTACCCTGAGCGTGGAGCAGCTGGTCCGGATGGGGGAGCACTTCACGCGGCTGCTGGCCGAGACCAAACACCGCGGCGCCTTCGAGCAAGCCTACGTGGGCTTCACGCTACTTCTGGCGAGGTCACTTATAATTCACATTGTTTTCATGAGAACTGTTAAACAATTTATTTGAACAATTATTATGGTCAATTCTCAGACTATGGCGGTGCCGAAACCCTGAGCTGCACTCCCTCCCTCCCTCGTGGCTGGAGGAACTCATGCAAGCTATCGCCAGTGGTGAAGGGAATCAGACGCTGTGTGCCACCAGGAGGAGTGCCGGATTGCCATTTATGATACAGGCTAGTCACTCCACTCACTTTATTTATCATTATCAATCATTAGCCTATCGCCGTCCACGGCTGAACTAAGGATTCCCCCCTAAGGAATGTCAACCATCTCGATCATGGGTGGAATTTCATAATCTATAAAACTACGGGTACAGAATCTGTCTTTCTCGTGTCGTGATGATGGGTCGGTACATGTGGCTATAATATTGGGGATATTCGTTGATGAGCGGTGGTACATTGGATTAGTATTTTGTATTTTATAGATTAGATTTCGAATGTTAAAGTGACGGAGGAGTATATTTTCAGGCTTTGGTCACGACGGAGCTGCAAGTGCAGAGTACCCCGAAGTGCTTCCAGTCGTGCATGGCGCTGCTGCTGGAGCTGGCCCGGGCCGGCGCGAGCGTGGAGACTCGCTGCCACGCGCTGAACATCCTGCGCGCGCTGTTCCGTCACTCGGCGCTGGACGAGAGCGTGGCGCCCTACGTGCAGGGGGGGCTCATCGTCGCGCTCCAGGGCTTCGAGGGCGACTCGTGGGCGGTGAGATGACACATGTCACTAGCCACCTTTCAATTCCTTGTACCCAAAAAGATACTTCATAGCTCCATGATAACTACAGCATATAGCGGTCGGTTCGACTGGAGCTATACCACGGTTTCACAGAAAACCAGTGTTAAGCATTTCTTCTTGTTTCGCTTCTAATTCTAGGAGAGAGAACACTCAAATTTCAGCATGCACATGTAAGTTTTGAGGGTCAGAAGTCTTTGGGCGAAGATTGTCACTTAAATAGTAAATGTGGTGTCATCGAACACGTGGGTTAAGACTGTTCACTTAAACCAAAATAAGAAACCGTGATCGATATGTGTGGTGCAGGAGCGCAACTCCTCGACGCTGGTGCTGAGCGCGCTGGTGGTGCGCGTGTTCGGCGTGGCGCGGCGCAGGGGCCCCGGAGCCCCCGCCCCCCGCAACACCATGACGGGCCGGATCTTCTTCCTGCGGTACCCGCAGCTCTACGACTTTATGCTGGTACGCATATTTACTTCACCGCTATCCACCGCTAGATCCACAAAAATCATATAGATTTTTAATTCTACCTGTTACTACCTGTTGTTTCCGTGTGGTGACGGATTAAGAATACGGAATGTCACCACCCCGCTTCATCTCGTGGGTGTCGTAAGCGCCGACTGAGGGAACTAACTACGCAGGACAACTGCACTGCAAAGAGAAGGAAATCTTGAAACAAACCCTATACCAACCCATCTGGGCGGCGAGGTATAGTAGGCCAAAGCCTCTTTTGTAAAGAGAGGCCTATATCTAGCAGTGGACTATAAAAGGCTGTTGATGTGATGTGACCTGTTAATGAGACTTCCAAATGTGACTTCCTTCTGAAGGACCGGGTACTATGTCCTTTCAGCTCTATGAGAGAATCCTCCGACTAGCGAAATGATCATGCCTAGCAGACTGCAGCTTGACGGTTGATGTTGGAATCCATATATATGTAGATACTAATCGAATCGGGAGCTTTCATTGCGCGATGTAGAATTAGTAGTTACTCAGTAGTTCGCTGTATCGCCGTTAGATGGCACTGTAATATGTTTTCGTTGTATGTATCCGGGAATCTTCAAATCCCCAAAGAGAATTAACATTAGTAGGAAAATAAAAGGGAGAAAACTACGCAGTGCAGAGAGAAGGAAAACTTGACACAAACCCTATACCAACCGTCTGGCCAGCGTGGTATAGTAAGCCAGAACCTCCTTTCTAAGGAGAGGCCTATGTCCAGCAGTGGACTATTAAAGGCTGTTGATGATGATGATGAGTAGTAAGATGTGAAATCATCATTATTTGAATCCAAAACCGGTTCTGGACTTGTCGGACTTTTTAAGACTCCAATTAATAGTAACGATTGCCACAAATGTTCGTATAGCAATCGGGACCTATGGCTTAACGTGCTCTCTCAGAAGTCTCAGGGTATTATGAAATGGTTATCCACGTATATACTGACCTGACCACTTTGTTTGGTAATTTAATTCAAAATTAAAAAGATATTTATTTGATTTAATAGTGTTATTGTGTATTGTGGCATGTGTCGACAGGCAAAACTGCAAGAAGTAAACTCAAGTGAGAACTCGCAGTTGCTGCGGCCGTCTCTATACCCGGTGCTGCTGCTGCTGGGCAGGCTGTACCCCTCGTCCCTTGAAGGAACTGTCTCCAATCTAAAGGTAATAGTGCAAATCACTAGATCTTATAAAATTAAGAACCAACAGCATTTATTTATCTGAACACGATAAACTCAAACTCTCTTTAATAATATTTTTTTTTTTAATGTTTGAAATCGTCTTTTAATGTGACTCTAAAGTCATAGATCAACACACACAAAAGCCCCAATCTCTGTTTTGTCTAATAGTAACCAAATAAATGTAACAAAAACCAAACCCATACAAAATCTATACTAATATTATAAAGCTGAAGAGTTTGTTTGTTTGTTTGTTTGAACGCGCTAATCTCAGGAACTACTGGTCCGATTTGAAAAATTCTTTCAGTGTTAGATAGCCCATTTATCGAGGAAGGCTATAGGCTATATATCATCACGCTAAGACCAATAGGAGCGGAGCACCAATGAAGAATGTTTCAAAAACGGAGAAAATTTATTACTATTGAGAGACGCAGACAAAGTTGCGCGGGTCAGCTATTATATGATATGCCTGTGCCGATCTACAACCGCCCGTTTCCAAGGGGATAGACTCTAAAAGTACTGAATAAATTTTCATACGACTTTTACCAATAAATAGAGTGATACACGAGGTAAACTGTTGTGCCGCCAGAAGGTGGTCGAGATGTCAAGGTGGTACACATCACATGCAGCTACTGTGATGCTCTTTTTAGATTTCTCTTTTTTTTTTATTGTACTTGCTTAAAAAGATTTTTTGTAGGAAAGTTGAATGAAGAGTATCATGGTTATGACAGACCCTTGTTTTCACTTATTTCATTCTGTTTTTTTTTATTATTTATTTCTTCTTGATGCACATAAAAACGTGGCAAAGGTGGACTCAATGTCTTAGGCATTTTCTAGCAGTCAATCTTAGAGTGATGCAGACCTTAAACATAATAATAATATGTGTGTGTGTGTGTGTGTGTAATAACAGGACAAATAATATGTGTAAGTAACACGATCATTTGTTCTGTGTCTCTGGGTTTAATTCCTCTAGATTATGTATGTACCTATGAATTTAGAAATATACAGGGTGTAAGGGACGTAACGAATACTGAAATAGTGTGTTCATCATTTTGAGTCGAACATCATTAGGATTTTCCGCCGGCAAATTAAACTTTTTATACAATCAGCTGTCTAATGTTAAGGTCATTCTCCGTAGGTATCAAAAGTAATACAATACAAAAAATAATAACTACATGTGTATTCCGTGCAAAGAGTCTACGCACACTAACACAAGTTGGCAGCCGGGGGAAAGCTCGCGCGCTTCGACTGTTTGATTATTACATTGCAAATTTTCGACCGTATGCGGTATTAACTAAAAAAAATCGATAAAATGATTTGTTTACGCTTTGTAATATCGTTTTTAACTAAAAAATGGCAAATAACTATAACATAATCATGAATTTTTCGGATGAGAATTCCAATGACGTTCGACTCGGAACATTCGTTACCCCGTCCCTTACGCCCTGTATAAGTATGTTCATCGGTAGTCTGGTTATCAAAGCACAGTTTGTGATCAGCTGGTGTCGTTCATCCCGCACGTGGTGTCGTGCGCTGGCAGCTCCGCGCTGCAGGCGAGGCAGCTCGCCGCCCGGGCCCTGGCGCCGCTCGTCTCGCCCCAGCTGTGAGTAACTGCGCCCGCCCGAGTCTAGGTGCTCTTTGTGTCCGTTTCATGTATGTTTGTAAAGTTATATGCCTTGTGCGGGAGTTCTTTCTTTTAATAATAAATTACGTCTCTTTCGCAATTTCTGATAAGTTTTTGCCTTAACTATGCAAAACAAATATTCGTTCTCTAATATTCATTCGGTACTCACACTCGTTTTGGTAAATTAGTTTAACTACACTTAACAAACGAACAAGGGGTTCGTTCCTTTGATAAAAAAATATGAAAAATAGAATGAAAATAGCGAACGAATAAACTACCCACTATTTATTCAAATACTCTTTCATGTTTTGTATTTAAATAAATTTATTACTATTAATTTTTTAATCAAAGGAAACACAGTTATATAAATCATAGGTACTCAGAGTTATTGAAGATCGAAATGATTACGTTCACAGATACATTCCACACGTTCAGTCGATGTTCGCCCTCCTCAAGCGTACTATAAAGCGCAACTACTGTCACGGCCTACTCCTGCAGCTGGTCCGCCTGCTGGAGTACAGGCCGGAGGGACTTCAGCTCCCCCAGTTCTCGGAGGAGGACACCCTGCCCTTCTGCGTAGAGGATACTCTTTGGATACTGGACCAAACCACGACCGAAAGAGCTTGTTACCTGATCGCAGACGAGTACACGAAGGTGCTTAACATGATCGCGTGGAAGTGAGTTGTCTTTGTCAGCTTATTTTATATATTACACTACCATACCATGCTTCGACATAAATGGACCAGCCTTGATCAGATTGATACTACGGCCTCACAGAAACACGTCATTAAGCAGTTTGAAATCGCTTATCGTAAGTTAGTTATAGATAGCTTTTCCCCGCGGCTCCGCCCGCGTAAATGTTGGTTATCGTGGTAAAAAGTAGCATATGTCTTTCCTCGAGAATCAAAGTATTTCCACACCAAACTTCATCTAAGTCGCTTCCACCCCATTAAAGGAGGATTTCTGAGATATAAACTACCCTATGTCCGTTCCCGGGGCTCAGACTATCTCTATACCAAATTTCATCTAAATCGGTCCAACGGTTTAAGCGTGAAGAGCTAACAGACAGACAGACACACAGACTTTCGCATTTATAATATTAGTATGGCTCAAAGGAGTATTTTCGTACCCATGGTGGCCTTCATCAGTGTCTACTACTATCATTTATATGTTATTTTTCAGATTTCCTTCTCTGTTGCGGGAGTTAACTATCCCCAGAATATTAATGAGATTAGACGCTACCATATTTAGTAATAAAACTAACACCATAGCCGCAGGACGAGAGGTATTCCTCTCCAATGCTGTCTACCTGTACTTCATATTATTAAACAAAGATATCGAAAATAGCTGTAAGCTGATTATTAGAACTCTTCAACATTCTTATTATGAGGTGGTGCTCTCTGCGCTTAACTATCTCCTCATTCTTCACGACAGTTTAGACGAAGAAAAATGCAAGTTCCAAGAACGTTTATCGTCTTTGACAAATAAAAAAATTCTTGATACTTTAAAGAGAAACGACAAATATGTACCAATGTTGCGTAAAGTATTAGATAATAAATATTTAGAATGTCAACACAAGAGCTTGAAAATTTTGACATTAGAAGGTAATACGCAAACGTTAATAATTGAAGCAAGAATTAAAAGGGAATTGCGTTTTACAGAATCTATTTTGTACCATTTATTGGAATGTGTTAGAAACGAACCCGAGAACGTAACACACATGTATTTAGAAAGCTTGTTAAACTTTGTGACGAATCAACTGGAACAGAACAATGTATGTGGTGAAGAAATATTGGATGTAATAAGGGTTGTTTTCGAGCATAGTTCATCTGATAACAATGAGAACACCAGGAATACTGTGGTCCGCTTTATAGAGAAAAATATGAGATGGCTGTTCAATTTTGATACGACTGGACTAAACGAAGAACATAGATGTAAGTATATCTTTTTAGTTAAATGTATCATCAATCATCATCAACAGCCTTTAATAGTCCACTGCTGGACATAGGCCTCTCCTTAGAAAGGAGGTTTTGGCCTACTATACCACGCTGGCCAGACGGGTTGGGATAGGGTTTGTGTCAAGTTTTCCTTCTCTCTGCAGTGTTGTTGTCCTGCGTATTTCGCTCCCTTAGTCGGCTCTTACGACACCCACGGGATGAATAGGGGTGGTGACACTCTGTATTCTTAATCCGTCACCACACGGACAGTTAAATGTATAGAAATAGGTAAAGGCAACAGTTTAGAGGGCCTTTTTTTTTGTTTTGTTGACGGAGTGCAAAATCCCTTCGGATCTCCGGCTCCTTGGAGATATAGGAGCCAGGAATATGTGGTTTTTATACTAAAAACCACTCCGACGGCCAGCCTTAGGCGCCCTGCTCGTGAGAGAACCCGGGCCATGTGATTTCAGGTCCGCCCATATCGACGCCGCATCTAACTAGGCCCCATCTCAGGTAAAGCCAGTTTAGAGGGCCTAGTGTCAGTTTATTTCTCATTAACTCATTAACGTTGCGATTGGCCCGCACTGAACTCTTCAGCAATCGAGAGCTAGTGGATGTAAAGTATAGTCACACCGGCCCTCTATATTATTTTCTCCCCTATTTGACCAACCCAAATTCAAACAACTTCAAAAAAGGAGTTTTTTTTTCAATCATTTAAACTTAAAGGAAATATTCCACCCCTAAAGGTGAAAATTAAGGAAGAATGCGGTTTATTTTCTGACTATGTTATTTTCTGTACTCGAGTCTATGTATGAATTTAGTGATGATCTGTTGATTAGTTGCGGAGTAAAAACATCACAAATAAACTAACATTTTTATATTTTCTGTTCGATAATTTCCAGTTGAATTCAGAGCGACACTCTGGTCCACGATAATCACTCTACTTGAGGACGATGAGCACTCCATCCGCCAAAGAATCACCGACGCGGTGTCGTCACACTATGCCGTGACGTCACGGATCTTGCCCAGCGCATGCGCAGAAAATATAAGAGAAAAAATAGACTGGGAAAGAGATAGCGTAGCAATGTTCGCACTGATAGCGTTATTGGACTTCAAGTCGGTTGTTGTCACTGACGATGGTAACGACGAGGTGAGGATCATTTTAATTTCACATCAACAGCCTTTAATAATCCATTGCTGGACATAAGCCTCTCCTTAGAAAGGAGGTTCTGGCCAGACGGGTCGGTATAGGGTTTGTCGGCGGCGTCACCGTGGAGACGGTGAGGAGGACCGGCTTCATGAGGAGTACCGACGGGCTCGGAAAACTCTGAAGCTGGCCATTAGCCGCGCCAAAGAGGAAAAGAGACAGGAGATGCTGGAGGGTCTTAATCGTGACCCCTGGGGTCGCCCTTACCGCGCGGTGCGACAAAAGCTCCGCGCGTCGGGCCCCCCCCTTACGGAGACTCTCCAGCCCAGCTTCCTGCGAGAAGTGGTTGAGGGCCTTTTCCCACAACGGGCGGAACACACTCCCCCGTCGATGGCCTCCTTGGCCGGAGACGACGGGGAGCACGGGGAGGATAATGTTCCGCCCGTCCGGGAATCGGAGGTAGGGGCGGCTGTTCTACGGATCCGTTCCAAGAATACCGCCCCTGGGCCAGACGGGGTACCGGCCCGAGTGCTGGCCCTGGCCCTAAACCACATGGCAGACCGCCTCGGGGAGGTGTTCGACGCTAGCTTGGCGTCGGGACGCTTCCCTGAGTGCTGGAAGAGCGGGAAGCTGGTCCTATTGCGGAAGCCGGGACGGCCTGCCGATTCGGTCGCGGCCTATAGGCCCATCGTGCTGCTGGACGAGGCGGGCAAATTGTTTGAGAGGGTTCTTTCTGCCCGCATCGTCCGGCACCTTTGCGAGGTGGGCCCCGATCTGTCGGACGCCCAATTTGGTTTTCGGGCGGGGCGTTCGACGGTCGACGCCGTGTTGCGCCTGAGGGCCGTGACCGAAGAGGCCGTGAGCTGTGGCGGCGTGCTGTTGGCGGTGTCATTGGACATCGCCAACGCATTCAATAGTCTGCCATTCAGCTGCATCAGGGAAGCACTCCACTATCATGGGGTGCCAAAGTACCTGAGGCGGCTGGTGGCAGACTATTTAGAGGAGCGTACCGTCGTGTACGAGGACCGAGAAGGTAATTTGAGGTGTCGGCCCATGTCGTGCGGTGTTCCACAGGGGTCTGTTCTTGGACCCCTCTTGTGGAACATAGGGTACGACTGGGCCCTTCGCGCCGATTTCCCCCCCGGGCTGGGTGTAATCTGTTACGCAGACGATACCCTCGTGACAGCCCGGGGGGCAAACTTCCAAGAGGCGGCGCGCCTGGCCACAGGGGGAGTCTCCCTGGTGGTCGGGCGCATTGAGGCGCTGGGCTTACGGGTGGCCCTAGATAAGACGGAGGCCCTGTTATTTCATGGGCCCCGTCGTGGTCCACCCCCTGGCGCCTCCATCGTGGTCAACTCGGTCCTCGTACCGGTTCGGGCCCAGATGAAATATCTGGGCCTGATCCTCGACGGGAGGTGGCTCTTCGACGAGCACTTCCGACAGCTTGCTCCAAAGCTGGTCGGCGCTGCGTCTGCCCTAGGGCGACTCTTGCCCAATATGGGTGGACCCAGCGTCGCGACAAGACGGCTGTACACGGGGGTTGTCCGGTCAATGGCACTGTACGGTGCACCGGTGTGGGCGGCGGCTCTGACCGCCCAGAATAGGGTACGCCTCTGGCGCCCTCAGAGGGTAATGGCGGTCAGAGCCATACGCGGTTACCGCACCGTTTCGACGGAGGTGGCATGCGCATTGGCCGGAACTCCCCCGTGGGATTTGGAGGCGGAAGTGCTCGCCGAAGTTTATCGGCGAGTGGCTGACTTCCGGGCGGAGAGCGGATTTCGCCCTCCGCCCGAGGATGTGCGCGAGTGGCGCGAAGCCGCTCGCCGAGCCACGATGGCTCGTTGGTCGTTCCGGCTGGAGACTCCACGCGCTGGCTTCGCCGCCGTGGAGGCTCTCCAGCCGGTCATCGCCGAGTGGGCAGGGCGGCAGCACGGGACCCTTTCCTTCCGACTGACGCAGGTGCTTTCCGGGCACGGTTGCTTCGGAAAGTACCTGCACACGGTCGCTAGGAGGGAACTGAGTCCCGCCTGCCACCACTGCGACTGCAGTGAGGACTCGGCCCAGCACACGCTGGCGGTCTGCCCCGCATGGGCGGCGCAGCGCCGGGCCCTCACTGCAGTCATCGGAGTGGATCTCTCGCTACCGGCCGTAGTACGCTCCATGGCCGGTAGCGACAGTTGTTTTACCGCGGTCGCAACCTTCTGCGAGGTAGTAATCTCGCGGAAGGAGGCGGCGGAAAGGGCCCGGGAGGACGACCTCCACTCGGACCCGATCCGCCGCCGGCGAACCGGGCGGCGGAGGCCCGCCTACCACAGCCTCATGCCGCCCTGAGTGTGGCCGCGGGTGGACGGGGTGGGTTTCCCCTCCACCCGCATTAGTTGGCCAGCCGCGAGGGGGCGGCGTCCGCGTGTGCCGGACGTCGCCTAAAAAGAGAGGAACAATATCGAGACGGAGCCCGCACCAGGAGCGGGCTGGCGCTAGGAGGGGTCCGGATGTCTTAACAACAGCTGTTCCCGGATCCCTCCTGTTACAGGCGCAGAGTGGCACACCGTGTGGTTTTAGTCGGTCCGAGTCCGACACACCACCCCGCCGTAAACCCCGGAGGGGTGACGGTCCGAGGGGATTTCCACACGTTAAAAAAAAAAAAAAAAAAAAGGGTTTGTGTCAATTTAATTTACCCGACGCAAAAAAAAAGGTCTTATTAGTTTAACAGGTGTGTCTGTGTGCCTGAGGAAACTGATACGAAGCGATTGTAGTTCCTATTTAGAGTTATAATAAAGGATACTTTTGTAAAAGGTATTTCATAGACATCATCATGGGTCACCAGATTGTAAGTCATCATCATCATCACATCAACAGCCTATAATAGGCCACTGCTATACATAGGCCTCTCCTTAGAAACGAGGTTTTGGTTTACGATACTACTATGGTATAGGGTTTGTGTCAAGTTATCCTTTTCTTTGCAGTGCTGTTGTCCTGTGTAGTTTTGCTCCCTTAGTCGGCTCTTACGACACCCACGGAATGAATAGGGATGGTGACATTCCGCATTCTTAATCCATCACCACACGGATAATCCGTCACCACACGGTACGACGACGACTACAAAATATTAGATTTAGGTTCTTGTACATATATAAATAATCCACTATTTCATTATCTTCAATAATACACAGCTCTGCATTAACCAAGGGTTGGCTGAAAGAGAATACGCCTACGTCATTAAGTCCCATTTGCAATTTATTTTCAGGAAGTATGAATAAAGAACCACCACCACGTGAAACTGCACGCTATTTAACTCTTCTAGTTTTATCTAAAGCAGTTTCAAATTGAACTAGTCCATTCGCGTTAAAAAAATAGTGACACATCGATCAAGCCACGCCTTCTGACCAATAAGGTTCCAAGAAATTATTGTTCTAATGCGGGTGGACTATTTTTTAAATACAGTCGATATAACGTTAGAGTAAAAGGCTAAATATTGAACATAATTATATGTATAGTAGTTGACCCGGCGACCTTCGTATCGCCTTAGAATTAATAAGTTAGGTGACAAATTTTCAATCATCAACACACACAAAAGCAACAATTTTTTTTTTCAAAAAAAATTTTGTGACATACCCGGATTCAATTGTAGTTTCAAACTATCCAGGAGCCCATTGAAATATACACACAAAATTTCAACCAAATCGGTCCAGCCGTTTAGGAGAAGTTATGCTACAAACACACGTACCGAAGAGTTATTTATATTAAGATATGTAGTATGTTAACAGCAGTCTGATTACCATAGTACAGGCTCTGCCTAGTTTGGGATCAGACAGCCGTGTGTGAGGATGTGTGAAGTTATTATAAATATTTTTTTATTTTAGTGTCGCGTGTTTGACCAAAATGAAAGATACAACATATTTCTAGAAGAAACTGTGTGGACCAGCGCGTGCGCAGACAAAATCCTCAAATGTAATCTCTACAATAAACTCACACCAGTGGAGCACGTATCTTCGGTGCTAGACAACCCGGTGTACAGAGGGACATTTGACAAATTATGTAATGACAATGTTGTTGTGTTTAGGAAATTAGTCGAAGGTGATATTATCTTGAGAAATGACGCATTAAATCCTAAAATACAGGTGTTTGTCAATAAATTAAGTAGATAATCGGCTGTTACATGTCTATGTGTACAGGATTCAAACGCATAATGATGTTCTAGATAAAATATACTTTATTTACTCATGTACTGTTTTTAAAGCTTAAAGGCGGCAGGTCACGGCGACTGGCCTGTTGGTCTAGTGGTTTGTGACCCTCACTGCTAAACCAAAGGTCGTGAGTTCGATTTCCACTTAGAACAAATAATTGTGCAATGAGCACGATCATTTGTTCTGTGTCTGGGTGTAATAAAAACTTTGATATGTATGTGTTTAGGAATATATCAATCATTTTCGGGATCAAACAACAGTGTGTGAGATTTGTAAGGTTATTATTATTTATAATTTGATTTCTTTAATTAACCAACTTCAGAGGGGGAGATTCTCAATTCAGTTTTTTACTACACACCTGAAAAATGCTTTTGATTGACTACAGAATAACAATACGAGTACCTACAGTACCTTAGTCTAAGTGTAAGTTACTTTTTTATATGATTTGTAAATTAAAAATATTTTGATTTTAATATTTAAAACTGTTTTATTTACAACTATTTTAGATAAATAATTCAAAATAACATAAGAAACTAAATAACAGATTACCAAGTGCTAACTTAAGATTCACAAGAGCGTTGCCGCCTTTTGAGTCAAAAAGCGGTGTTAGGCTCCGGTGGTTGAAATAGAAGTGGGTTTAGGCTTCAGTGGTTGAAATAAAAGGGGGTGGCTACATGCTTAGAAGACTAGAAAAGAATTTGACCGATTTCTACTCATATATATTACGAAAGCTCAGAGCTTGAGGCTTATAAAAGGTTCAAATGTCTCAATAACAGCTGGATCTCTCCTATTTAAGGCGAAGAGTGGTTTTAGTCAGTTCCGTGGGGCGACATCTCGAGAGGTTTGCCACAAAAGAAGAATAGAAAAACATTTACAAGTGAAATAGATAGAAGAAGAACTAGGGAGAGAGAATAGAGAATGTTTTTATTTCATGATTCAAATAGAGGCGAGAACAGTGTGCAAGAGAACAACAGCCCAGGGCTAGCTTGATCCATTCGATAGAAGCTCCAGCTAAGGTACCCTAGAAAAACAATTTTCATCCTTCACCCGCAAGTGTTTAAATAAGGTTTTGCATATAGAAAACCACAATTTGTCTACTAAGTCCTAGAAAAAGTCGCCTTAAGCAGGCATAGATTCAGTTATAAATATGTGGTCCATAAAGGCAGAACCTGTCGTGTTTTGGTAATACTACGTCGGTTCCAAGCAAGGATAGGTTACAAAATCTTGTATGTATGAGGATGTAAGTGAGTGGTCACATACATCATCAGCATAAATGAAAGGAGACACCAAAAATCAAAGGTCAAATTTACTTCTGATTCTGGACATAATTGAGATCCGTTTTTAATTTTGTTCTTTTAAAACAGAACAAAAACCCTCAATCACAAAGTGATCAGTCTACCCAACGATCCCGGTACAGGCTATATAAACATATACATTACCAAACATCTCTCAAACAATCTTCTCTCTCTGTATCCTATGCACTTGACTTGCCACCTGACTATTTTTTAATTTCATTTTATTTTCCTTTCTATCTTTCACATTACTTAGCATATTTTTCATCTCTTTTACACTCTTATCGACCTGACTATCACTCTTCGGCGTCAGTCTTTGTAGTTTACTTCTCAAGTTATTTTCAGACATAACCTCTTCTGTGTCATCAAACAAGTCCTTAACCGATATTAATCTGTGAGAGTTTCCTACACGGAGTAACTTTTTTAGACCCCGAGTGGATTTCTTTTCTATTAAACTTATGAGACCCCAGTCGTCTTCTTTCTGCCCTTCAAAACCTTCTAGTTGCCAGGCGGCATTTCTGACCTCTAATTTGAGTCGCTCGCACTCTTCAAAGCTAACGTTTCTGCTGACATTCAACGCTTGTTCTAGAGGATTCACTATATACAGCGGTAGACCGTTCGGTTTCCTCACAGCCGTGCCCTCGTTAATAGAGATCGCTTTGTCCTGGAACTCAAACTGCGAGTAAAACTCAAAAAATTGCAGAAGTAGGGATTCCAGGCTCGCCTTTTTCTGTGAGTAACACTCCACTGGCAGCTTGTTCAGGTCTCGGAGAAATGTACAGTTGAGACTTTCGTCTGTTATTCTTACGTCTTCTTTTCCTGAAAATATAATAAGGGTTGAATATCTCTCTCTACATATAACAAAATACTGCCGTTTTGGCGATTTTGTCTTTCCCAGAGTATAATCCTGTGCCAAATTACATGTAGTTCCTTTGCTGTCTTGTGTGATTGCGTTTATAAATTATAATAGTTGGAAGACTTCAGAGAAAAATTTAGATCTAACAAACAGTTACAAAAATAATTTTTAATAAGTAAGTTTGTGTCCATTTAATGTTACAACAAAGAATACTTGATTCTTGGTAGTGCTATTTATGTCATTCTATATTTCTGCTTATAAATACATATTAATCTATACATACCGGCTCTCTTAACTAAATCTTTTAGAGGCGGCAACACACATCCTTCGGCAGACTTCTGTTGAAGGAAGAACAGTACCATCAGTGTGAGGGAGAAGTTGGTGATCCACCGGCCAGGGTGAGGATTTGTCAGCCCCACCGTCTTGGCCCAGCGCCGCACCGCGAACGTGAGGGGGCGGACTCTAGGGTCCAGAGCTCCAAATTGCCACAGAAGCTCTGACATGTACACACCGGACCTGTGAATACACATATTAAGAAATTTGATTATCCATTAGCTTGAATAGCTAGCATTTAAAGCATACGTTTCTTAGGAAAATGTAATAACTTACATATTATTGTAGCATAGATCACATTCGAGATCGGTATACTCATGTGAAAACTTGAGGATAGGCACCCTGGCGTGTAGTATCCGCTGCAGCCTTGTGGCCCCTGGTACACGCAGTTCGAGAAGCTCTCCGACACTCTCTATGTGACGTTGCCATGGACTTCGCCCACCTTCACACTTCTTGTCTTGATACACTAGCCGCCGAGACGCATCCAACTAAAAGCCAACAAAAGACAAGACAGAATAAGTAAGATCAGTACTAAACATTCGGTTTTTGTAAGAACTAGTGGTCATCCAGGTGTCGAAATTCGACATTGATTTATTTAAATTTCAACATTATTAAAGTTCTATTGTAACGAAGTTCCTTATCGTGCGTTACACGTTCTGAGCGGATGGGAGCGAGACCGAAAAATGTGTCACAAGACTTTTTTCCGACACTATAGCAAACGTATACCAAAAAGCGAAAGGAACTTCGTGCCGACCAGGGCTCCACAGAACCTTCACGCCGTTTTTTTTTTCAAAACTATCTCTGTAATCACAGATTTCGCAGAGGATACTTTCATTTAAAAAAAACAGTGAGCCGTCGCAGGTCGTCTGGCAGATGTATAATGTCGGCTTTTGGCATTCTTCCGGATTAGATTTTTCACATTTGACATTAAAATTGAAATGTATTATTATTATTTATCGTTTTTGATGTTAAACATGCAATGAGGAGAGTCAAATCGGTTGCGAGAAACCGATTTGACTCTCTGTCCTGCATCTCCCCGCTACGTTTGACGCTGATTTACAAGTAGAGCAAATATTGAATACATCCACGTGTTGCACATTGTATTTTAATACAATTATTATATTATATTAGTAGCTATGATTTTATTTTGTTAATAGTCTGTGTGTATGGTATCTGTGTTAATATAGGTATAGGTAATAAGCATGATTGTATGTATATATGTGGTGTGACACATCTAAGACGACTTGAGTTCTTTATCTGAAGAATGTTTTTCATGTTGATTATTGACCACTAAAAAGATAATGGTTTGCTTCGTTCCTTATTAATAGAACTCTATCAAACTATTGGGACATCCTTGATATATGTTGCTAAAAGCCACTCACCATGTCCTCAGTGACAACATTGGTTAGCACAAGATCCAGGTCACAGCCCATCCTCCCAAAGCCATTAACCGATGAACCAAATGGCCTCACTGCTATGTTAGCATACAGGCTTTGCAATACACATTCTAGCTGAAAACAAAAGGTTTTAGTTCATTTGTAGAGACCATTACTTAGATTTACGTCATAATGATTTATTTTACATACAAACACCTCTAAGAATGGAATTAAAGTAAGTTTCTGTTATGTTCAGGGCAAATGAGGAGACGTATCACATTCATGGGCCCCAATTCTGCTATTTTAATATAGTATCAATACTGTCAATGGACTATCATGAGAATAGTTTTGCACTTTTCGTATTCTACTAACTATATAAGACCAATGGCCTCCCGATGACTTGTTACTGATCTACCACTGATACATACATCGTCAACGTCTTTGTAATAGTTTGATAAACAGTACATTTTAAATTTGTAAGGAAATAATATTATATTTTATTTTCCAGATGTGGCAATGTTGTTGATATCACCATTGATGAGCCACTGTCACTACAACGAAATTATATTGACACTGTAAATTAAAAAAATAAATCCCGCTTCAAATCATATTCAAAATTATTAAAAAGAATTATGTTTCTAACTCAACGAGCACAAAATGATTACAAAATTAATAATTCTAGGAATAAAAATAAAACGACATGGCAAATAATTAATCAGGCGAAATTAAATTTACCAAAATCTTTGATAAATAGATTAAAAATAAATGACACTATTATTACGAATCCAATACAAATATCGAATGAATTTAATAACTATTTTATCGATAAAATACAGCCTAAAACAACGTCTCTAAAAACCACCCCACCCATTTTAAGTACAAGCAAATCTATGTTCATGTCCCCATGTGTACCGCAAGACATATTAAGTATAATTCATAAGCTTAAAAACACGAACAGCGTTGGATATGATGGAATAACTACTAAGGTCATTAAAGTTGTAGCACATGAAATAAGCGGTCATCTGTGTCACATTATGAACCTATGTATAACCTCGGGTATTTTTCCTGCCCTGGGTATGCCCTTAAACAGTCAATTGTAAAACCAGTGTTTAAGAAACAGGATAGGGAGCTTATGGAGTATTATAGGCCTATTTCTTTAATTCCCATATTCTCCAAAATATTTGAGAAATTCATACATACGCAACTGTACCTGTATCTGGAAAAAAATAATCTATTGTGCAATGAACAAAATGGATTTCGTAAAAACAAAACCTTGAATTTGGCAATTTTCAACTTTCTTCATGAAGTTATGATGAAAGTAGACAAACGAACGCCTGTATGCTCAATATTTTGTGATATGACACAAGCATTTGATTATGTAAAACATGATATATTAATTAGAAAACTAGATGCCTATGGAGTGAGAGGTAATGTCCTAAAGTTATTCGAATCGTATTTGGAGAACAGAAAACAACGTACAGAAATAGCAATAATAAACCCCACTACTAAACGAGAGGAGCTATATCTTTCAGATGAGCGGAAAGTTTTGTACGGTGTCCCTCAGGGGAGCGTAATGGGACCTTTGCTTTTTATATTATATATTAATGACCTTCCAAAATGTACAAAAAATACTGTAACGCTTTTTGCAGATGATAGCACAATTACTATATCTTGTAATAATGATATAACTCAATATAAATATGACATTACGAATTCCTTGACATCCATAATAAACTGGCTTGACATTAACAATTTAAAAATCAATTTAAATATAACTAAGATTATACATTTCAGTTAACGGATCGCTCCAATCAGTTATATATACCAAAATATAAACATTGACAATCATAGTATAGAAAATGTTACGACTTCGAAGTTCCTCCGGTTAACGATAGATAAAAAACTAGATTGGAAATCACATATAGAGACGCTTTGCAAAAAATTATGTAGTTCTGCATACGCTTTGCATACGTTAACGTCAATCGTCAATACAGAAACAGTGATGACCGCATACTACGGTTTAGTTGCCTCAAATTTACGCTACGGCATCATTTTCTGGGGTAACTCTACAGATACATTAATTGCTTTTAAGTGTCAAAATAGATGCATACGGTCAATGTTTAAACTAAAAACAAGTGATAGCTGTAAAACTTACTTTCAGAGGTATAAAGTATTGACGTTGCCAAGCATTTATATTTTGGAAATGTCAATGTTTGTTAAAACAAATCCAGGCTTATTTCCGCGGCTTGAGGATACGGTTACACGGAACAGGCGTGATAATAGTAGACTGCGCCTACTCCAAGCAAATACTGTGCTTAGAAGTGTTTTCTGTATGGCTCCAGTAATTTATAACCATTTACCGCAACAATGGAAAAACTTGAGCATAAGTGCATTCAAGAGCAAGTTAAAAGAATTTTTAGAAATGAAAGCATACTATTCTGTAACTGAGTTTTTAACGGAGAAAATATAATAGAATGCATGTTTTTAATAACTACACCATACCCTCTATTAATACAGTTTTTTAATAAATGTGATACATTATTTATTATGATTATGACATTTTTCCTTTTTTTAATAATATAATTGTAATTGTTATTTTAATTGATATTGACATAAAATGGAATTCTGACCTCGTATGATGTATTAAATAAGCCCAACTCGTTATTAATGTTATCTTATTGCATGCCTAAAGGTAGGATGTGGCAGAAAAAAATATTATAACTGTAACACCTAATTGTAAACCCATGTTCGCAATGAAAATAAACTGATTGATTGATTGAAATTTATGTTAGTAGAATACCAACATTTTGACCAATGTCAATGGCATGTCAATTGCTTGTCAATGGAATGACAGTGGCTTGTACATTAACATAAAATAGCAGAATTGAGGCCCTGATAGTAGGTAACTACTGCTGGATGGATGGGTACCTGCATCCCAGGTAACAGGCGTTGCCATTGAGTGCATGCCTTGAGGAAGGAATTGGGCCTCTAGGTACTTCAGTCACACAACTCAAGCAACATTTTTCTCACCAGTTTTCAGTGAGGTTCCTATCAAGCCAGCTTCAGCTCTCCCACGTATAAGTATTTTCCATTTGATAAGCCATAAAAAAAACCTAGAAGAACTAACCTGTCGTGCCACTATATATCTTAACCGGGTCCCAAAATCATTCAAAAAAGTTCTATCATATAACAACTGCATTTGTTCTGATACTGTAGAACACTTCACCATATCTTGCAACATCACATCTTCATCCACTAATGAACTGCTGTTCAGAGATAAAAGTGTAGCTGTTGGTGGAGAAAATGTTTCTTTTCTCCCAATAGCAGCTCTGAACCATAGGAATGGGGACTTCAAGGCCATTACATCCAAGTCTTTATGGTGTGCACTACATGATCGTAGCACTTCCTTCATGTTATCCTCAGAATCGAACTCAATGAGCATGAAATGCTGTAAAAATAAGTATCTTTTTTAATTTGCAGTACTTTATAAGAACCAGTTCAAATGAACGGCAAGTTACCTCTTGTGAAGAATTTTTATAATGATATATTCCTTTGATGGTAGCATATTTAGAACAATAACCGTACAGTTCATTGAACGAGGCTTCTGAATTTACTTGCACTACGATACTCTGTCTCGCTTCAGTTCTCCTCTGCGCCACCACTTCATCAAACGATATGAACTTCCTTGAAACATCTAAAATAAATAGGGACATAACCTCCAAACAACCTTTACAACGAATTTTCTTACTATGATGTTACCTGACATACCTGAAGATTTACGGGCATTAAAACATTTACATGAAACATGGGAAGATTTTAGTAAATTTTTATAAAATTGTCTTTTGCCTGTTTTTATTATGGTTTGAAATATAGACATTCTTGCTTGGATATCTGTCAACCTAAATTAAATAAAAGGTAATGTAGCCAGGTCAAAATCTTATTGTCCCCGTGGAAAGTTAAAGAGCCCCAAAAAGCCAGGAAGAAACTAACCAATTTTTGGAATTGATGGGTAAATTGAGTAACATTTACAAGACCTAGAAAGAAATAGAAAAGTTCGTTACCAATGTATGAAATTCTAGATTGCTCGTTTGGCAATAGGGTAAATTGCATTCGTTTAGAATTCAACGGTGATACATATTCCAAAGTAAATTATATAAATGTCCTAAATTGACAACACTGACAAAAATTGACACAAAGGTAGATCGTTCGTTTATTGTTCGTTCGCTTAGTTCGCTATAATGTAGCAAGTATTGAGGAATTCGTTTTGTTGCTCAATACTTGCTACATTATAGCTATCTGTTCTCAATACCCTGATTCTACGGGTTTAATATTCTATGCAATACATTGTTCCTATAAGTAAAAAAAAATTGTAATACGGCGTGAGGGGCCTATGGACCTACGGTCGGAACGAAATTCCGCAAGAAGTATCGGAAAATAGTCTTATTTGTACCACATTTTTCGGTTTCGCTCCCATCCACTTAGAGCGGGTAATGCCAAGTAATTTTTGTTCCACACATTATTAAATGAAGGATATTTTACTCTTCGCTGAAATTCAGAGGATTAATTAAACGTTCTATCTTCAATGTCTTCTGTCAAAATGAAAAGGGTTCGCTAATGAATTGTAGAGGTATATAAAGTAAAAATAAACAAGTTATTGCCGTTCTCACACCACTTCATGCAAGATGGGTACAAGAATGTTGCAGCGGCTAGCATCGCCGCTATTCATAAATTCTTTCAAAACGATTACTTCTAACCTCAACAGAGGACCTGAAAAAATTGTTTGTTCGAACTCGTTATCTTTTACGGCAGTTCAAAACTACGCAAAGAGCAAAGACAAAGGAAAAGACAAAAAGGGTAAAGGTGCGAAGGTTGAGATTAACGAAGCCGTGATATCAGAGCTTGTTCCTGTTGAGAAAATGAGGGATCGATGTAACGCCGCTATAGACAAAATGAAAGATGAATTCGCCAAAAATTTGTCGCTCCGCTCAACAACTGGTTCTATCGAGACACTACGTATAAAATTTGAAGGAAAAGATTATGAATTACAAGAACTCGCTCAAATTGTAAGAAAAAATCCTAAGACTATGGTAATAAACTTTGGGTCGTTTCCACAAGCTATACCAAATGCTCTAAAAGCGATACAGGGTTCTGGACTAAACCTTAATCCCCAGCAAGATGGTACTACATTATATGTTCCTGTGCCTAAAGTGACGAAGGAACATAGGGAAGCGTTAGCAAAGAATGCTAAGGCTCTGTATATAAAATGTAGGGATTCTATGAAAGACGTTCAAAATGAGTTCCTGAAAAAGATTAAGAGACAAACTAACACTTCTGAGGACCTTGTTCATAGTGTAACAAAACAAATAAGTGCAATATGCGATGAATACCAAGGGCAAGCCAAAAATATCTATGAAGTTAAACACAATGAACTTGTTGGGAAATAATTTTCTACAATTTTACTACAAATATTTATATATTAGTGCTTATTAAAATCATTTCAAATACTAGTTTTTGATAGACATGTTGTGCTTTATTTTTCCATACCCCGTAAGACTCTGGTGCATAGGTACCTTAAAACAGTAACATATATTACAACCCAAAGTTGTTCCAAAATTAATCACCAAGACAAATACAGTTTTACATTATTAGTTGTTTATTTTGACTGCGGGGTCTTTCAATAACAAAGGATTTCTAAACAAAACAACTGCATTGGACTGTCTAAATTTTAATTTAAAAGAAAACTGTTGATTTTGCCATGAAGAGTGAAAAATATATTTAAGTAATAATAATAATAACTTCACACATCTCACACACAGCCGTCTTATCCCAAACTAGGCTAATATGTGCTACGGTAACCAGACTGCTGATAAACATACTTATATATTTTTAAACATACATAAATTATAGATAAATAACACCCAGACACAGAACAAATGACCATACTCATCACACAATATTTGTCCTGGGTGGGAATAGAACCCATGACCTCCATCAGCACATCAGCTCAGCAGTCAGGGCAACTAACTACTACTACACTAAAGGATTCAAATTTATTTATTTAAGTATAAAACATAAATCTTAACTTAAACCATAAATGCTTAAATTTTCGTATTATTATCGTTTAAAAAAAAATCGTGAAAACTGTTTTAGTGTTTTTTAGTTTTAGTTAAGTAGTGATAACTGATAGTTACGTTACTCATTTGACGTGTTATTACTATTCTATTCTATGAAAGATCCAAAAATGCGACGGCTAAAAGCGATCTGTGATTGCTTGATTGAAAATTTAAAATATTTACATAAAATTATTTGACAACTAAAATCATAAAATACTTTCATTTATAAATCTTATAGAGATTCTTGTGTGCGTTACCCCAGCAAAATAATGTCGAAAATGGACATTTAAACGTTATAGATTATTAGTTGCTCCCCTTCTGTAATTGTTAAGCACATTTTTAAATTTGTTTCACTTAAACTTTTTTAGTTATTTCAAAAAAACATTTCCTGCTGGGGTAACGTTTGAAACGTTACCGCAGCCAGACATTTTCTTTTTTAATTGTAATATTGAAATAAATTTTAGCTAAATAATTAGTTATCTGGACTAGGTAAATGTTACAACTTATTTGGTATTTGTATTTTCTTCGGCTGCGAAGTTATTCGAAATCCTGCTGGAGTAACGTTTGTGGGTTTGCTGGATCTCTGAAACGGGTAAGCGGATTGTTACTATCTTTTGTACATAACTTCTTAAGGATTAGTTTTAATTTGTTCGACAATAAAATAACAAAAATAATGGACCGTTTAAAAACTATTTAGGTAAGTATGAAAACACTTAAATACGTCCTAACACTTTAAATAAGACCTCTTAAGACTTACTTGAAACGTTATTCTATTGCTTGTAACTACCTTCAAATGTATACGAATTTTCGTAGGAATACTGTAAGTGACTAAAAAGTTATGATGAAATGTAGCTCTCCACGTTCACGATCAAAATGTATGCGGCCTTTTTTGGCCACCGATAAAACTGTGTGTGGATATATAAAATGAATGTTATGCCAATAATTAGTTGTTTAGTTCAGTTGTCTACCTGTAGAATTTCAGTGTCGTACATATAATAATTTACGAAATAATTAAATAAAAGTCATTAGAAGGTTCAAGTCCGTGGTAATCCGACCATGTTTAGGTGGTTACAATAAAGCGATCACCCAGTACATTGCGCTGTCTTTTAAAATGTTTAGTGTAATACACCTTACGATTTCGGTACAGTTGCGTACAGTGTTAAATACATTCAATATTTAATTCATTATTATTACCTATTATTTATTTTGTTTTTTTCCCTAATTGATCTTACGCACTAGTTTCTTTACTTAAAATTAATTTAGTCTTTTTTACTACCGGAGCTACAATCAACAGAAAATCTGCACTGGTCCGCTAAAATTATAAATATGTAGATACATGTGTGAACGATTCACCTGCCACCGACTGCAATAAAACTAAAATTTAAACCAATAAGAAATCGTTTCATTTCTTTGATTTTTTTTTTGTAAAGAAATAACACTAAAGTAATTGTATTTTATTTTGGGGTGTATAGAGCTTAGACTTGAATGCATCAAAATATTTAAAGCAACAAGTTTTCTACAATAAGTTAAAATAGACCGAATAGTAGAAGAATACAGTTGTAAATTAGAATGCATCAACATTGCATCGCCCAACAGACGTATACCTCGTAAGAGTAGGTAATATTGTTCTGTGGTCTATACCTAGAACCGAGAATTATCTATACCTATGAACCTACCGTTAAGCGTTGAGCCCGTTACTGTTGATTTCTGTTAAAAACGAACAGTTGTTGAATGATATTTTGATATAATAACGGTAATTTAATTTATCGAGTGAAAGTGATACATTTTTATAGATAAAATTATTGGTCAGATAATATTTGTCAATCAAGAATCGCTGATAATACATCCTTCGCTAGAACGCGGGAGGGGAGGGGCGAAGGGATACTTCATTGTTTGCAATTTGCATCTAGTGCACTAAACTTGACCCTTAGGCAGATAATATACGTGTTGTAAAGTACGTGTGCGCTTCCGCTTTCTATTTTTGCAAATATTTATCGTATTCTTGAGAGTTCTTCAATATGTGTGTACCTAATTACTAATAATAGGCATTAATGCTAATTCGATTCAATTTAAGTAATTGTCAATTCTTGTCTTAGGATATTAATTACTAAAAATGCTAATATTGAAATTTCGTTCAGGGTGAACAAATTAAAAACGATCATAGGTACGACCATCTTTTAGGTAGACAACGATCATCTTTTAGGTAGGTATATCACTTATTACTAATTTTACATAAATAATTTATTTTATTATAATTTAACTCACCGCGATTTTGTGATCAAATATTTTATTTTCTCCAACATTATTACAGAAATAATGCAATACAGAGTTTGTTCGCGATATGCTAGCCTAAGTCGATTCATCACTTAAAAAATCCCCATCTATTCACAAAATACCTATTTACAACGCATACGTTACACTCTTCAAAACTTATCATTTCATTTCATATTTCTTAAATTACCTATACCTACCCTAAAATTAAACTTCAATTAACAAATACTACGCAGGTACCAATTCTATGAACAACTATAAACAATTCACCTAAACATTACGAGAAAACAAAAGCATTCAAAATAATACCTAATCTCCCGGCTGATTACTAATTATGCAATAAACAATCCTAAATAAAAAATATTTAAAAAACATGTAGTTTTTTGTAACACTTATGTACATATCCGTAGTAAACTTGCAAATAATATCCTACATATTTTAAAAGCCAGCACAATGTACTGGGTGATCGCTTTTTTGTAACCACCTAAACATGGTCGGGTTACCACGGTCTTGCACCTTCTAATGACTTTTATTTAATTATCTCGTAAATTATTATATGTACTACGCTGAAATTTTACAGGTAGACAACTGAACTAAACAACTAATTATTGGCATAACATTCAGTTTATATATCCACACACAGGTTTATCGGTGGCCAAAAAAGGCCGCACACATTGTGATCGTGAACGTGGAGAGCTACATTTCATCATAACTTTTTAGTCACTTACAGTATTCTTACGAAAATTCGTATACATTTGAAGGTAGTTACAAGCAATAGAATAACGTTTCAAGTAAGTCTTAAGAGGTCTTATTTAAAGTGTTAGGACGTATTTAAGTGTTTTCATACTTACCTAAATAGTTTTTAAACGGTCCATTATTTTTGTTATTTTATTGTCGAACAAATTAAAACTAATCCTTAAGAAGTTATGTACAAAAGATGGTTACAATCCGCTTACCCGTTTCAGAGATCCAGCAAACCCACAAACGTTACTCCAGCAGGATTTCGAATAACTTCGCAACCGAAGAAAATACAAATACTAAATAAGTTGTAACATTTACCTAGTCCAGATAACTAATTATTTAGCTAAAATTTATTTCAATATTACAATTAAAAAAGAAAATGTCTGGCTGCGGTAACGTTTCAAACGTTACTCCAGCAGGAAATGTTTTTTTGAAATAACTAAAAAAGTTTAAGTGAAACAAATTTAAAAATGTGCTTAACAATTACAGAAGGGGAGCAACTAATTATCTATAAAGTTTAAATGACCATTTTCGACATTATTTTGCTGGGGTAACGCACACGAGATTCTTCATACTAATTAATAGTTCTCATACTAATATTGCTATTCCAAAGGATTACTACTATGTATGCTAACTTAAGGTGAAAGGTAGGGGAAAAAAAAGACACAGCCTGGTGCACTAGAAAAGGGCATTAATTTTTGTTAGAGATTTAACTACCTTGCTTATATTTTCGTCATACTTTTTACTATTGCCTAAAGTGGCAACAATTATCAATAGCAAAAAATATGACAATCCTCATCGTCCATCAGTTGAGCAGTTTTATCTTCCTTTACCTACTCTAACACCGTGGTTTCAGAACCACGGAGCTTATTTTATTTTGGTACTGTATCCCTTTTTGCTAAAATATTTCTTATATTTTATGTTTTAAATCTTCTAAATATTCGTCCAGAGATAGCCCCAGACGTCTCAAATATAATCACCCGATTTTGCCAATAAAAATAAAAGACTTCATTTGTTCAATAATGTGTGCAATTAAATTGTGTAGTGTGCGATAAACCTTAATTTACTAGAGATATTTTGGCTGGGTGCGAGGCTGCGACCCCGCCTGGGTGTATACATGTGTGGTCCTTCCGGGCGGATGCTTGGCGAGGGACGCAGCTATTTGTTAGATATGAAATGATAATCATATACATTACACACACAAACATGTGCTAGTGTATCTTATACGGACTATCACGTGCAAGTTGCATGCCAGGGGAATGCAAGGGGGTGCCCCTTGCACCTCCCTGCCGGCGCCTATGCGTGGGTAGACTGGGTATAATTGCTGTCTAATAGCAAAACTATTTTCAGGAATAAACTTCTTATTTACAGGAATAAACTTCATTTATTGATTTTATTATTTAACTTAATTATTTACAGGAATAAAATTCATTTATTGATTTTTTACTCTGGACTTTACGAACCACATATACCTTTCTATTTTAAACCATGTTGGTTTAAAGAATGGTAAATGTGGTCCATTATGTATGTCTAACATTATAGTATTAAAAAAAACTGTTGTGCAAAAGGACTTGAATACATTGTAAACTAAGTGACAGTTCGGAAAGATGTCATGTTTAAAAAGAATACTGTCAAAGTGTCAAATTTGTAAGCAAAACATCTCGATTCGTATAAAAACATTGTATATTGAAAAATGGATGTATTGAATAAAAATCGTAGGAATAGATATGATAGGGTTATGTCTCGTGTGAGTAATCAGCCTCGGTCTGCATCGAAGTCGAATTCTTTTGTTACGCGCCATGATATACCATCATCGGTGCGAGTTGGCGCGAAACCATCTGTTTCAAATGTGAGTTCAAGTGTTTTCAGTGAACTTCCAACAGTTTTGAACGATTTTGTGCCAGAATCGAGTGGTAAGAAAGTGAGTAAAACGTTTGTGGTGAAGCCCCGTAAGACTCTAAAATCTTTGGACCCTTCGAAATCGCGTCCAATTTTAAATCCTAAAGAGTTAAATAAGAAACCTTCGAATAACCGTGTGCCCGTCTCAGCTCCCTCAGTTTTGCGTGCTAATGGAGAGAAATGGTCTGAAACGCATCTAAGGGATTGCTTATCCAGCAGATCTCACTCAAGATTAAAAGAACTAAAGGTATATAACGCTTTTGGATGTTACTAGTTTTTACTGAAAGTAGATATTACTCTAAAATAATATAATATTGTTTCAGAATGAGATTCATGCTTACCATGAAACAGAAAAGCTAATGAGAATCCGCAGTAGTTTGTTCAAGAAGTGTGGTGTAGTTTTGGATGATGTGGGTAACATAGCTGCTGATAAAGCTGTCCAGGTAGAAGAATTGGCATCCATAGATCATGGTGAGCTTGTTACCCTTAAATGAAGTCTAGGCTTCCAAAAATAATTTTTACCAAATCTGTTTGCAACTTGAAGATTCAGAATTTTAACAAAGTATTTTATTCATAGTTAGCATGCTCAACATTTTTATTTTAAAAAAACCATTAAGAATTTATTAAAGTTGAAATAGAAATAACCAGATTTACAGCAATTATATATTTCATAAAACAAAATTTATTAAAAACATTAAACTCATGTAGCGCCATCTAGTAAATGCACACATAAACAACAAGGAGCATAGGAAGCCATTCCACAAAGCCTGTATAATCCATTTCGGCAGTTTACCGCCACCTAAATTTTTGTCTGTACTTGATGTATTTACATTTTTAATATTTTTGGTTCTCATATTAAGACATAGATGGCGCTTCCTGCTACAAAACATTTTAATGAATATTTTAACAGGGATTTTCATAACGCCCGCATTTTTCTTTTAACATACTACACTACTACATACTACTTTTGTACAATGTTTTACATTGTTTTGTAAAGTATGAATTAAATTTATTAAAAAAAAATCAGTTTCATGATATTTACAACAGCAAGTGATGCTTAATTTTATCGGTTCATTCAACTGGCCGAAATAGCTCAGTTGGGAGAGCGTTAGACTGAAGATCTAAAGGTCCCTGGTTCGATCCCGGGTTTCGGCAATCTTTTTACAGTTTTTAATTTAATTTATTTTTGTTACAGCCGAAGTGCCAAATGAAACTAGGTAAGTACTGTTGTTTAAGACATTTAAATCTGTTTTTTTTTTAAATATTAAATCACATTATCGTAATTTAATCTTACCGTAGAACGTCCACTACTAAACATGGACTCTTTCCATCGTACATCATTTAATTGTTGTTGCCTGGCCAGCGTGGTATAGTAGGCCAAAACCTTCTTTCTAAGGAGAGGCCTATGTCCAGCAGTGGACTGTTATAGGCTGTTGATGTGTGATGTGATGTGATGGTTTTGGGTGCACGATGTTATATCATAAAAGCATCAATCTTTTTCCTACACAAATATCTATTGATACTTAGTCGAATGTAAGCAAAACTAGCGGTAGTCGCTTTCCACCAGGTGACCCGTCTCTACTCGTTTGCCCCCTATTCCATAAAAAAAGCTAGTTTTATACTATTTCAGAAATGTTAATGTTTTACAGAAAATTCTGAAATAGTGTGGGATGGACTTTTACGTACCTGTGTACTTGGACGAAGATAAATAGTTAATATTCGTTTAATGGAATAATAATATTAAAGGGCGAGGCTTATAATTATAAAGGATATTATTAAAAAAGATAAAATGAAAACAGCGGGGAGTGTTATCGTTACGCATTAATTCGTAGTAAGAGGACGATAATTTTGCGTGTATACACATCGCCTCTTTAGCTCAGTGGTAGAGCACTGGTCTCGTAAACCAGGGGTCGTGAGTTCAATCCTCACAGGAGGCAAGTTGATAGACTGCTGTTGGTTTTATGTTTTTGTAATTGTTTTTAGGATTTTGTAAAAGTTTTTAAGGTTTATGCCTTAAATTACTATTTTATTCTTTTACGCATTAAGTTTTGTTAAGTTGAAACGTTTTGTACAACTACACGACTCCTGGTTTATTAATGTTGGAACGATTAAAAAAATATTATGATATGTAAAATATTTATACATATACTTTTTGGGAGGTTTTGCCCATAAATCGATCGAAGTGGCGTGCAATGGGAAAGGCCTATGTCCAGCAGTGGACTGCGATAGGCTGATGATGATGATATACTAGTTGACTGGCTTATTGGTCTAGTAGTTAGTGACCATAATAACTTAATTGCGTTTATTATTACGTTTTTTTTATTACGTTTTAAAAAGACAACTCCCGCATTAGGAATAAATCCTGTGTCGCGGGGGACTTTACAAACATACATGAAACGGACACAAAGAACACCCAGACTCAGAACAACAATTTGTGGATCACACAAAGTGTCGTCCCATGTGGGGTTTGAACCCACAACACTCGGCGTAGTAGGAAGCGGCGTGGCGACCGCTTAAACCACTACGCCATCCGTGCAGTCAACTTAACTGGATGTCGTGGGATCGATTTCCACCCAGGAAAAATAATTGTGTGATGATTGGTTGGTGCTGTGTCTCGGTGTAATTTATCTAAAATTTGTATGTATATGGCTTTTAAAATGTATGTGTATGTATATATGTATGCATAATGTTTATTGGCAGTCTGGTTACTAGAGCACAGTATAATCTATACGTCTATACAAATAAATAAAATTGGAGTGTCTGTTTGTAATATTAAAATAACCGCTTTTTACTAAATGCATATGTATGATTACACGGTACATATGCCAAAATAACATTTTTTACAATTTTTGTCTGTCTGTCTGTCCGTTTGTTCCGGGTAATCTCACTGGCACTTTCACTGGCAGCTGATGACATAAGGAGTAACTTAGGCTACTTTTTTTAGACTAGCTTCGCCCCGCGGCGTTGGCCGCGGTTATAACAACAAACGCGGGTAACACCGCGGGTACTAGAAAAGCAGGCTCATTACCTATATTACAAATAATATAAACTAAATTATTATTATTTATTATACTTATTTCCTTAATTTTTCACTTTCAAGGGTGGTATTTTTTCTTAGGCAAAATAAAATGCAGATATAACAAACAACCGGTATTAGCTGGTTTGTTACGTATACTTTTAACTGATTTAACTAAAACTCTGTTAAAAGTAAATACAATCCAGTAAACCATTAAATGTTACCTACACGTATTCCAGAGGGTCGAGGGAGGTTTTTTTTTTGTTGACGGGGTAGATAATCCCTTCGGATCGGAGCATGTGGTATTTCCACTAAAAACCGCTTCGATAGCCGGTGTCAGTCTCACTCCGAGGAGGATCTGGATCATGTTATTTCAGGTCCACCGCCCAACCCGGATCGATGCCGCGCCTATTAAGACCCTATCCCGGGGAAGTCATGGGCCCAATCATTACATGTTGCAACCCGATCGCATTTTTGCGACCTCCTTTCGCCTACCGCAGTAGTTAATCTGCTACCAGAGAGCCTTTGTTTTTTTTTTTTTTTCCGTGCGGAAATCTCCTTCGATACCACCTGTCCCGACTAATGGCCGGGGAACCAGGTATACCCTAGAAAGGAAGTCCCTGGTGGGGGCTACCATAGAGCCTAGTGTGAATTTATTTCTCTCTTTTTTCTTTTTACACGCTTTATATTAGCTTTACTTGTATGTTTATTTGTATGTTTGTAACCGATGGGCGTGATTTTGACTGACTTTAAACCATTGAGTTAAAACATTGGGTAAGTATTATATCAATGCTTTAAACGGTCAGAATTCGTTCAAACTTTGTAGATATATCGAGGACTGATGACAATACACTAATTAAAAAAATAAATATTATAGTTTAAAAAAACTAAAAAACACGCTTTCTATAGAAAACCAAACTAAAAAATAGAAAATAAATTTGAAAAAAAGCGTTGGGTGCCTGTTGTCAATAGTAAAAAGCATAAGCAGCGTGTTTGTTAGTTTTTTAAAACTATATTTTTTTATTTCAAATCGTACTCGACGAAGACCGCGTTCAGCGTTGCGATTGATAAAGATTTCTGTGCGATCCAATTGATGTGAAATAAACTCACACTAATAAAAATACAACAGAATAATAATAAATAAATAATAATAATAAATAAATAATAATAATAAATAAATAATAATAATAAATAATATATGAATACAGAGTGTCACCACCCCTATTCGTCCCGTGGGTGTCGTAAGAGCCGACTAAGGAAGCAAACTACGCAGGACAACAGCACTGCAGAGATAAGGAAAACTTGACACAAACCCTATACCAACCCGTCTGGCCAGCGTGGTATACTAGGCCAAAACCTCCTTTCTAAGGAGAGGCCCTATGTCCAGCAGTGGACTAGTAAAGGCTGTTGATGAATGATGAATGAAAACTCACACTAGGCTCTCTGTTTGTAGCGATCACACACGAGACGCTGTTTATCCAAAACTGGTACTAATTACACCCACCTTGATCCCGTAACGGTACTGGCAGGTAGGTGTAGCGGGGGTAACCGCACGTCCGTTGGGAAAGGGCGCGCTAGTTCAACAAATGACGTGTATCAGCTGTTCTTGACATAGGATACTTGACAAAGGATACACGTTATGAGAGCATGTCTTTTTTTTTAAAAAGGGTCTTCGAATATTTTCCCACAGGATATTAAGATTTGTATGACATTGTGACCTACATTTTTTCACCCTGTGAGTGGTACTTGTTTTTTTTAGTAGTTAATATCTTTCTGAAGTAATTTATTGTTAACTAGCTTGAATTTGAAAAGCGCTGCCTTAGTGGGTTCGATTCGGACCGGGCAAAATTTTATAGAGTTTTTCTGAGAGAAAAAATAGCCTTTGTTACTCCTTATATAGACAGATACATGGTAGTAAAATATTATCAAAATCGGTCTAGCCGTTTTCGCCCAGAACAAACAGACCGAAAATCAGACACAAAAAAAAACTGGTTCTTAGGCATGAGTATCGTGCAAATTACCGTGTGAGCATGAAATAAACCTATTACCTATTTTGACATTATAAACAGAAACTTCACTTGTATGTATTTGTATTTGTATAGATATTTATATTACTGGATTACTGAGCGTGTATGATTTAGGGAATTTAGGCGATTAGGGCATTCAACGATGTATGCATGATTTTGATATGTTATTTATTAAAAATATTAATGAAATACTTATGTCTATGTTCAGAGAGCGCCAAAGTAAAACAATTACCTCACATTAAGGTTTGAAAAAAAAAATAAGTAAAATTCTAGTTATATACATATAATGTAGGTATTTTAAAGTTGTATTTTTTAATGTGTAACATTTTTCCTCTCGCTTTCCTGCAATATGTGAGAGATATTCAGTGTAAAGGGACGGAAGTGTGTAACAGGAAGCGCGCGCTATTTGATTTGAAATTTGTGCCAATGAGTGTGGCGAACCTAGAGTTGGCTGCCTGATAGTGGGTTAGATGATAGATTTTTGTTAAATTTATTTGGTTACTATTTGACAAAACAGAGATTGTCGCTTTTGTGTGTGTTGATCTATGACTTTAGAAGACGATTTCAAACAATTTTGGAAATTTTATGAAATAAAGTTTGAGTTTGATGTCAGATGTAATAATATTTTCGGATATCTGACACAACGCCATCTAGTTTCAAATTAAGCAGAGCTTGTACTGTATATACAAATCAGCCTCTGCCGAGTTAGGGATCTCGCCGTGTGTAAGACGTTTCAAGTTATTAAAAAAAAGAGAGTTTTCTACAAAACACTGGTTACATTTCACGGGCCTGTTAGTCTAGTGGTTAGTGGCCCTGACTGCTAAGCCGGAGGTCGTGGGTTCGATTCCCACCCATAACAAATAATTGTGTGATGAGCCCGATTTACACCCAGACACAGAACAAATGTGTTCTGTGTCTGAGTGTAATTTATCTTTATTATGTATGTATTTAGAAACATATAAGTATGTTTATCAGCAGTCTTGTTACCATAGTACAGGCTCTGCCTAGTTTGGGATCAGACGGTCGTGTGTGAGATGTTTGAAAATATTAATATTATTATTTAAAGTTATTATTATTTTCTTACAAGTACATCAATGCCTAAAACACCTATTGAGAGGTTGGCCAACATATTCTTTGTTCGACTCACGCGCACATTACTTAACATTCAATATGTACAC